ACGCCCCAGGCCTGCTGCTGCAGCCTGACGGGAGTCTGTACGTGTCACAGCCTGCACCCTTGCCTTGGCGCTGGAAGTGGGTAATGACGGTCTTGGCGCATGAAGCTTTAAATCGCTTCCCACGTTCCGGGTCTCTGGCGGTGTAGCCTGCTGAGCCTCGGACACATTGGCCACATCCAGGTCCTGGTATTCAATGCCCTCTTGACCGAGCGAGGGTATCGTGACACTCGGGGGTCTCTGGGGTAGGTCATTCGAGGTGGTTCGTTTCAGGCCCCATCCGTTGGGCAAATCGTTCAGAGGAGACGGAGCGTAGCTATCGGGAAAGGGAGATACAGAGCGCTCAGCACGATTGGACGGACGAGGAGGGATCTTGGGGCCTTCTGCTGAGGCGGGTGCAAGACCCTGTTGTGGAGACCTCGACGGCCGCGGAGGAATGGCGGGGGCTGCTTGTGTAGTCATGGCTGGTTGCTAGTAAGGCAAATGACAGATTGAATCTGAGCTCGAAGATCAACTCTGGCAGTCAAGTCAGTTGATTACGGATCTATGGGGCACAGAAAACACCAGTCACATGAATCCGCGCGAGGGTGCGTGTCAATGGTTGGGCTGGTGAGGACGCTAGCACAGGGCAGCTTTGCATCGGTCACTGTAGATGCGCTCGGTTCGCCATGGAAAGGGGGGGAAACAGTACGTTGTCTATGTTTGGACGGGCTTTTGAGACAATATCGGGAATTCATAAGAAGGATATTGAGATGTGAGTGGGGAGCAATCTAGGGTAAGGAATGTACATATTCTCCAAGTGAGTAGATAAGGTAAACGCGATGCGTGGCCGATCACCTTCTTTCACCGTTGACATTCCCCGCCAGCGCCTTGACAAAGATATGAAAGGTTTGCAAAATTGGAGGGGGAACAGTCGATTTTTGGGGACTTTGATAAGAGGAGTATGAGTGATTCGCTTACCGGCAAGGTTTGAGAGTGGGAAAAGAAGTATGCGAGGTGCTATGCTTATGCGGGCGAGCTTTAGAGGGAGTATTAGCCCGAGTAGACGGAGACCAGATGGCGTCAATTGGATAGGCAGTAGGAAAAGCGGAGTCGAGCAATTATAGTAGTAGGAAAGAGACTTGAGAATCGGAAATATGAACAAGGAATAAGTAGATAGCAGTAGAGGAATAGAGTATAGACGAGAGGAAAGTTTAGAGGAGAGTGGGAGGAGGATTCAGGGAGGAGGAAGTTCAGCAGAAGCCGAGGGGGAGGAAAGATGGGCAGAAGATATGAGTATGATGTATGACCTGGTGAGACTAACTACTGTAAGGTAAGTTACTCCCGTAAAGTGGCCGTAAAGGCAGACTAACCGCATTCTTTCCTGCCACGGCCCACCGCCCCATCGCGTGACGTTCTCCGGCGGCGCCCCAACTGTATCAACTGCTGTATCAAGTGTATGCGCCCTTGTCAGGCTGTGAGCCAACGACTTTGGTTGGTTGCAATTACGCCAGTACTCGATCGAGTACAGTACTTGAATGAGAAGTTCAATTCAACGCTCTGAACCTTGAACCTTGAATTGCCAGGACCAGGTCCATTTTTTAGGTTTACCATTTTTTTCTCTCGATCCATTTCTATCTACCCTTCCGTCATTGGTTCTCGATCTTCGTGTCCCTTCGAATCTTTCTTTGAGATACCTGCCCGTTCCACCATTGTGAGACCGATGAAGCTCCATTGAATCGCAAGGTCATTGGATAGAGCCAATGGCCCGACCAGATAGTAAGAAGTCATCAAATATATCAGACCGAGGACCCTCGAATATTTCTACCATCGTTGGCATCGCATATCTCGAGGATTTCGCCCATCTCTACCGCCTGCATTGTCCACTCCTCATGCGCGGAACAGAGGATTGCAGCTAAGAATCGGCTATCGTACCTAAAAACTTTAGGCATCTTTAGTATCCCCAGCGATGAGCATCTAGTATTCTTTGGTTCTGCGCCGGTGGCATCCACGAGAGCTCATTAATAGCTCATACTGGCCAGCAGAGCTTGCGCCCCTTCCTCTCTCTCCCTCCCACCAGTCGAAACTTGGTATCAACCTGATGATCCGCCGGCGAACTAATTTGGCCCATTTCAACCGTCGCTAAATATGAACAGACGTAAAAACTAAAAATCCCTCGCCCTCTTTCGTGTGACAGTGGAGAGGACTGACTTGCGTGAAAACTGAAAATCCCTCTGCATTACACCTTGCCCCATACTGAAGAGGAGTAGCGAGATAAAAAATATGCGGCCGGCCCAGACCATGGTCCAGATGAGCTGTGAGCCACAAGCGCCCCGCTGCTGGTGGTAATAGTGATAGTGATTTGGTATGCGACAGCAGCCCCGGCTGGCAGGTACCTTGAGTTCAATTTTAACTACACGGGAATATTAAAGGGTGTTTTCTATCCCTGGTCGTAGCATAGCTGCTAGTTGGTAAGGTCGGTTCAGCCTCAGCTCACCAAGTACTCTGTATTGAGCAAGAGCTTGCACCCCCTTTTCTCTGGCGCAAATGCCAATTCTACGAGGACGTAGTAAGTAACCCCTCATGCGGCGGTGCGGGCTGGCTGGCTGCCATGCACATGGGCCTGATCGCCCGTTTTGAGGGTTGTCGGATGTCGCACAGCTGATGTGCGGGGCGAGTAAGGGAGGAAAGAACATGCAGAATATCCCTCATGGTAAACAGCTTCAATGGGTCACAGGAAGTGTGCATATTGTCAACTAGTCAGTCTATTGCAGAGGCTTGGGCCTCTTTATTGCCAGCCGGCATTGAGAATTTCAATAAATCACTTCGGAAGTCATAATCACGCCGAGACAAAATGAGAAACTACTCGACTACACTGGGCAAAGTAAACTATACTGTATGTAATCCGTACTTCGTATCGCATCCAAGGTGATTGTATCGACTTGGATGTGACTGGCCACATCCTCCGTAACCCCCCTCTCAACCAGAACCCCACCAGCGCCGAGGCGGTGAACAGCCTGGACTCAACCGGCTCCACATCATGATTGCATCATGAAGCCCATCGCCGCCGTTCGCTTATCGTCCACGGGGGAGTATCATCCTGGGCGTGTGCGATAGGCGGCTTTTTGGTTCTGATAAACAAGGCCGCGAGATTAGTACCGACTGGACCCAATTAATACTATGTAGCTTCTTATCGAGTTAGTACGTCGATAGAAAGGTCTCATTCTAGAATCAATACGATTTTGGCACATAATGTACCTATTTTCCGGAAACATACCCCAGTATCCAGTAGCCACTCTACTATATGACCTGTTACATCCATCAAAACCAATTCAGAACACTCACACAATAGCTGCACCCCATCCCCCAAGTGCGCCTAGATCCATACTTCAACAACAAATCCCAACATATCACCAGATCCGATGTCGACTCTCCGCTTTGCACAGCGCCGTAAAGTACTGTATAGTACATACTACCACACCCCTTCCCTCCTAACCCCCCGAACAATCCGATACGCATCTATCAGCGCCAAGTAACCCCCTATGCAAGAAAAAGACCACGAGGGAGAAATGAGAGACATACTCTTAGTCTCTAGGCACTGCATCAACACAGACAATCCGGCCCCCGGCCCAACCAGCAAGGGACTCAGCTCCTGATGACTCGCGCTCGAAGATTCCCGATCCCAGGGCCCAATCAGCGTGATTCCGGCGTTCTCTATTCTCGAAGCTACAGACGACACATGATAGGGAGACCGGGAGCCCAGTACATCATCGATAGGTAAGGTAGGTTTGATTACTGTAGTTGCCTAGCTGGACAACGAAGCTAGTACTGTACTTTACAGGAGATTCTTGCGCAAGTCCAAGTCGCCCTCTGAATCTCTACAGCGCAAAGAGGAGAAAGACCGAAAGAGACGCGCTGCCTAGAAAATCCCATTGAACGTGATCTAATCATTTCAACCTGTTGGCTCTCCGTGCATGCATGTATAGGGTCAGCACAGACGCCAACCGCGCCGCCGGAAGCGCGGGGTAAAACTGGAAGCCTTCTCTCTTAACTCGATGAGGAGACAGAGGGGTAAAATGAGGGGAAAGGGAGCAGAAGTATGACGTATCATATTGCCTCCGAGGATGCCCTAGTGATCTTGTCCCTTAGGCATCCATTGTTGAAAACTGGATGGACTTGTGGCTGTCGTTCGCACTAGTATGGTAATATGTGTGTGCGGCTGTAATGTGCTAACTGAAGGTAGTTGTGTACGACGAACAAAGCTACCCCGACGAGCATTGCTCGAACTCGACCGAGCTTAATCGCTGGCGATGGCGCTGGCGCTGGAACTAAGCTGATTGAGTGGTTGAAGTGCGGCTATCGCATTCCCGTGGTTATATTGATGATGCATGATGCCGTCCGGGAGGTCAAGGGGAAATGCAAACAGCCGGGCAGGCACTTTCAGGGCCAGGGCTGCGTTTTGAGTGAAGGTAGCCCGAGCTTAGTCCATTTTTTGCTGGGTGACAAGACTTTCCGGAGTATATGCGATTGGCCTTGGAAAGAGAAAATTTCATATTCATCGCCAGGATGCTGGTAGGTAGGGTATTCGCTGCGGTGAACTACTACTTGTTACAGGTTTCATCTAAGCTCATCACGGAAGACCTCAACGAGGTAACAGATGCCAAAAACAAAGCAGACCGATACAAGGCAAGGTAATAGGAATGGCTCGAGCAAAGCATCGGCAGCAATCCAGACTCCAGCGAAGCTGAATTGGTTTTTGCGGAAAGCAAAGCAAAGCAAAGCAAAGCAAAGCAAAGCAAAGCAAAGCAAAGCAAAGGAGTGCATAGTCCCTCCGTCGCAGCACGAACGCGATATCGGCTCGTCATCGCATCACACTCAACTCCAGCCCCAAGAAGCCTTGAATTCCATTATTTGACTTTCTGACTAAACGAAATCACTCGTTAGAATCAATTTGTCATTGATCTCGGGAGAATGCTCACATTGTATAAGTTGTTATCTCCTTTTTGCGCAAAAGCCTGCGGCCTCTACACAATCATCTGCGCGAGTCCTTGGCCACCCAGTGTCTTACTGCTGACGAACTCTTGGCTCTTCACGGCCGCCAGCGCGTAGAAAATGGCCGCAATCAGGAGAACAACAGCCGCAGCAATCAAGCTGGTGGCATCCTTGAGCAGGCTGAGAAACTGCACCACACTCATAACAGCGTACATGCCAGCACGCATCCAGTTGGTTGTAAACTTGCGAATGAATTCATCGAACTTCGGCGAGGTCGGGCAGATTCGGAGCAGGAAGGGTACTTCGGTGAAGATGAGAATGAAGGCGGAAATACTGCACAATACATGTGAGCCCCAGATTCCGGTTTTGCGGGGTACCTAGCCACTCACAGACACAGGACGCTAAAGATGATGATCACTGCATTGAAACTGAAGATATTGGCGATACCGAGCGCCAGGCATAGGATGATGCACACAACACCGGTCCTAGTTTTAGATCAAGTTAGCGCTTGTGGCCAACGAGTCAACGCCTCCCAGCTCCCCCTCATATATCGTGCTTCGATAGGGCTCTTCGGGTACTGCATGCTTGGTCGCTTTGACAGGCGGGTACTGAATGAGCTCCCATCACGGAGGCGCCAAGCGTCCATGCTGGGGGCCAGGCAGCAGTTATTCTTTTGCTTGCATTGTAGTTGCGAAGCTCCCAGCCGGTTGAATTGTACAAAAGTCACTGAGTGGGAAAATCGCGACATACCATTGACCGTAAATACCTAAGCGCACAGGTGTTAGCTCTTTCTGTCTTTGAATCAGTCAAAGTGTAAACAATGCAGGTCCATACTGAAGTTTCTAGTGCGGAACTCCTCGGCGAGAGTCATGGTGGCGATTCAGGAAATTTTTGGCTTTTTTTGGCTCAGAAAGAGCTTTGTGTGGTAGCGGAGATGTAAGAAAGTAAGAGTGACCGGTTGTGCGATATCAGATAGATCTCTTTTATGCTGATCTGCAGTATCCTAGGTTGGGAAATGGAGTAGATTGTAGCGCGATTGACAGTTGATGATGGGGCCAGTTTGTCTATCCGACCGACCTCCTCACCGCTCTGGCAGAACTGGGGCAGAATCCGGGCTCCCGCATTACTGCCATCCATGGTCGACGCTCCGCCTTACAAACAACATAACATCATCTGCAATTATTGCTTGCATCGATCTCTGCACCGCGAGACTTGTCATTGGATTGCGACATACCTTGCTGTCTGGTCCTTGGTACTGGTATATGTACTGTCGTACATACTCTTCAGCCTCTGCATTCCCTACATTTGACCCCAAACATGGAAGCCGTTTCCAGGCATAGCCGCAATGCTTCTAGATGTAAGGAGTCTCAGATGAAGTAGTGGCCGTCTCTTGCTAATGTATGATAGCTTCCCGACCTCGTAGTACGACGAACGGTCCACTTGACCAGATAGACGAGTAAGCAGAGATGTACTTTGTCAATGTCACGGAAGAAGCTGATGAAGCCAGTCCACTTGGCACCGAAACGGTGAACACACTGAGGCAATCCTGCCCAGCAGCTCAAACTGAGTTGTCTGGTGTCTCCTTTGAGAATCTGGATCCACTTGCTCCTGATGATCTGCCACCTACCGTGGAGAAAGACCTCTCATTCCTTCTTCGCTATGAGATCTATCACTCCTTGTCACAGCTGGACATCCCACATGCATTGCGCTCCGAGTTCATCGTTCCAGCCTCCAGCGAGTCATTATCTTCGACTCTTCAAAAACTCGAGAAACTCCTGACGGAGGGCCATTTCTTACTGGCAGCTCATCTCAGTGGAACGATACTGGCATCTTCTCTGATCAAACCCACAGACATCAAACGCATCTTTGCTTTGTTCTACACCCGGTTGGCATGCCTACAGCTTTCCGGGAATACCATCATTGCCGCACAGGAGTCTAAAGCTCTGGAGGACTTGACCTCTGTTTTTTACTACGTAGAGCCGCTACCTGATAAATCCGACAAAGGTCCGAGCTATCCTCGCCATATTGTGCCATGGCCTCTGAGGGCCTTAGCCGTGCGACTTCAAAGTATAGGGTTCGGCGACTCTCGAAGGGGCATTGGCGGTCTTTATGAGATCGGCCTGGAGGCAAGAAGGGAGATCTTGCGGGCAGATCTTGATGCGGCGGAGCGGCAACTCTGGAGGGAACGACTCGCGGACTTGGGGATCAGGAATGTCAATGCACTGATCGAAATGGGTGATCTCAATGCGGCCAAACAGGCACTCTATAGTTTGCGCATGTCAGGCGTAGACAATGAAACCCGCAACGCAAGGAAGGCGCTCCTGTTGGTATTGGTCGGCGATCTTGACAGTGCCAGGCAATTGTGCAGCGAGGGCAGTGAAAATGAGCAGGGCTTTTTCAACGCCCTCTTCAGTATGTCTGAGGGCCAATATAGCACGGCAGCCGACGAATGGCGCAGTCTGCTGGAGCGCGAGCGCCAAAGACCTGACGAAGCCATTATCCAGCAGAACCTAGCAGTCTGCTTGTTGTACACTGGTCGACTGAATGAGGTAAGTCCCCTAGTGTGATAATAATGGATTGGCAAACAATGCTGACTATGGCTCTAGGCTCGTGAAGTTCTCGAATCCTTGATACAAAAAGAGCATTCATTCCCGAGCCTCGTGTACAACTTATCGACTATCTACGAGCTGTGCTCTGAGAAGGCCGGGAAGCTCAAAACAGATCTTGTCGAGACTGTAGCCAAACAACCAGTGACGGGAGTCCTGAACTTGGACCGGCCAAGTGCAGATTTCAAGATCTAATGTCAATCGATGACACAGGCCGCACAGTGTTGAAGAGCCATTCCAGCTCAACCCTCCTTGTCCATGTGCTATGGCTAAACCAATTCAAACATCTTACCCTATGCCAGACGCCATAACCTTGAATCATAATTCGCCGGGCCATGATATAATGATATAATGATATTTTTCGGCCATGCACCATCACAGAGCCTCCTTGATGGGGGTCAGATTGACGGTGGGTTTCTGCTTCGGCCTCCTAATGATGATCTTATCACCTTCTTTCTCCCATCCGAGCTTCTCCAATTCCACCAGCTTCTCCCACGTCAACTCCTTCTCTCCGGTACAACCTTCGGTGATCCACTTGCTATCGGCGTTGAGATAAGCTTTACCCACAGCTTTGAGAGCGTGCCTTCGAACCCGTTCCTCAGCCCAATTGAGGACGGCGCGCATGTTGGAATCTACTCCCTTACGGATGCGCCAAAATATAACCCAGTCATCGTGTGCCAGCGCGTGCAGGACCTCATCGACCATGGACGAATTGAATGCATATTTCCTGCGCGCCCGTGCACGCAGCTCATAAGCGGCACCCAAGTCCTGTTGCCGGCAAGCAAAATCAAGGATCTGGTACGATATCACCTCCTTTAGATCGGAGTCTGGAAGTGGATGTGATGGAGTGTGGAGCTCTTCCATGAGGTATCGGAGGGAGGGAGTATACGATGGAGGATGTTGGGCTCGGATGGCGATCTTAACGGAGAACAGGTGAACCTGCTGGGAGAAAATGATAGGGATTGTGGATGCAGTGGCCAGGACGGCCTCCCGGAGCTTTCTGAGGGAGAGCAGGATAGTAGATAACTCTGATGCTGCCGAAGGAGTGTATGTTCCTGTTGGTTTCGTGGGTAAGGAAGCAGGCGGGTTCTTGGTTGCGTCATCCGAAGCGCTCCTGGGGAGGGATGTCCAGGCAGCGTCCATGTCCTTCGCATGAAGAGCGCAGAACGCCATATATCTCTCAACAATACTTTTATAATATTCCTTTTGAGCTTTGTGGTCTAGCAATCTGCGCATGTCAGCCCGGGCGGAGGTGGGGGTTGGAAGGCGCGCAGGCGTACTTCCGGTCTCCTTTAGATACGAAGCCCACCGTCTCCAGGGAGTCTGCCACGGGCTTCAGGCGACTCCCGGAAGCTTTGCGTATCGGGGGCGCTCGATTATTCATATTCAAAGGAGCGACGAGTTGTGAATAGCCGGTTGGAGCGACGTTTTGAGGGGAAGAGGAAGACGGAGTAGGGATGAAGCTGACTACCGTATGCTATCGCGGTGGTGTTTGCAGCGTTTGCGCTGTTTGTTTTCTTGTCCTTTGCCCCCAACAATGCAATGCCCGAGGAAGCGGCGAGTTTCCGCTGAGTCCCAACCGACTTTCTTGTCCTCATCAACCTCTTTTTTGGGTCGCGGTGATTATAGCGGGGGTTCCGGTCACTCCTGGGCTATTTGGTCTTGGAAGCGAGCCATATTGGGTATTCAGTTCAGGGTCACCGGTCCCCTTCTTCCCTCGCCAACTTCGTCGACAGAATTGAAACAAATCCCGGAACCCATCTGTCATTGTACATACATACCCACATACAGTATCCGCAGGCTGCATGTGAAGAAGATGGCCCCTCGCCAGCGTCACTCCACTCACGGCCAGGAGAAGGTTCTGGGCACGAGTCAGCCTGCTGCTGTGGCAGCTGCTGTGCTGGAACAGCCTCCCAAAGTCCTCAAGAAGCTGCTTCACTGGGAGGAGCTCCCCCATTGGCAGCGCGATAACCAGCACATCCATAGCGGGTATCGGCCGGCCTCGGCTTCCTTCCTTGTTTCCTTCCAGTCCCTGACCTATCTTCACAATGAAACGGTCAACATCTACACGCACTTGCTGCCATCGTTGCTGGTCGTGCCGGCGGCCTTCGCACTGTATCGGGCACTAGCCCCCCGGTATGAAACGGCGACGCAGGCGGACGTAATCGTCTTCGGCTGCTTCTTCGCCGGGGCGGCCTTTTGCCTGGGCATGTCTGCCACCTACCACACGATCTCAAATCACTCGCCCATGGTGGCGCGCATCGGGAACGCGTTCGACTACGCGGGCATTGTCGGGCTGACGGTGGGCAGTTTCATCCCCAGCGTTTACTTCGGCTTCTACTGTCAGCCCGCGCTGCAACGGCTCTACTGGAGCATGATCTGCACGATTGGCCTTGGCTGCGTCGTCGTCTCGATCTTCCCCCAATTCCGGACCCCAGGCTGGCGACCGTTCCGGGCGGCGATGTTTGTCGGCATGGGCCTGTCAGCGGTGTTTCCCGTGATCCACGGATTACGCCTGTACGGGCTGGGGCAGATGACACGCCAGATCGGACTCGGCTGGCTGGTGCTCCAGGGTCTCCTGTACATCCTGGGGGCAGCGATCTATGCGGCTCGGGTCCCCGAACGCTTGCGACCCGGCCAATTCGATCTGTGGGGAAGCTCCCATCAGATTTTTCACGTGCTGGTGGTCTGCGCCGCAATTGCTCATCTGACCGGGTTGCTGAAGGCGTTTGATTACAGACACAGCGGATTCGCCGCCAGCTGTGCTTGGAGCTGACGGTGATTCGCCGGCAAGGGGATCTAGGATCGCACAAGGGGTTTTTTGCTGGTTACCATCTTCGGAAATCTAGCCATAATCGACTGATTTTTCCCCCTAGTACTAGAGCGCAAAGATGGACTGAGAAATAGACGCTGACGTCAAAACACGGGACACGAGACATTTTGTCTAACAATTCAATTTCCACATTGCTTTGCTGACCATTGCAACATTTTATAACTGTGAATTTCTTAAGGGTATCTATTCAGATGTTCACCGCTTGCCCTGCGACATTTCAAACCGGGCAGACGAATCCCGCAATCAGTCTTACAGCTCACATGGTATGCGCTGGCTTGCATACCGATTTTCTATTCCAGTGCTATTGGATGCTACGTCAGAGACAATAGCCTTTTTTCGCCTTACAATTTGGATATCTTGATTCACGCAGAATCTGCATTAAAGTTGGGGGGGAGGAGTGAGAAAGGGTGAACTCCCTTCCCGCCCACTGACTGGGCCTGCCGAACAAACGAAGGCAATGTTGCACTTGAGCTTATTATCTTGTTGGGCCTCTTACGTTAGAAAATAGACGAGGGTTATGGTTGGGCCGCTCTGGTGGCCAAGCAACGATGGCCGAAACCGAATCTGGCAGATTGATTTTGATTTTCTTTTTCTGTTTTTGGATTGTGTATTTTCTTTTCCGACAAGTAAGATGATAAAGAATGTCGAAGCAAAAATAAGCCACAGGCAGGTCAGTTGGACACACATGTCAAGAAACCACGACGACGCTTAGATTCGCGAGAGCCCCCCGGCTTTTCTTCTTCCCTTCCCCCCATGCGAGGTGGATCAGATGGAATGATTTAAGGTGTCACGACGGCTGACTTCATCTGCGCTTACCGTTCATTTGGGGATTTCGCGATACGAAGTTCAAGTCTTGCAGGTTTGGGCCAGCCCGCACCCAGCCAGTCAGTTCGATTCGATTTAGTTCAGTCAGTCAGTCAGTCAGTCAGTCAGCCCCAGCCCAGCAGCCAGCAAACCAAGCAACGGGGAGCCCAGCGTTAGGGGGAAGGGTGTATGAAGACTAGCACTGTGGGTGGTCGATATAAATAAGAATGCGCGTGCGCTGCTGCTGATGCGATTCAAGCTTATATTATACTTTTCTTGCTCGGAAAAGCATATGAAGTATATATAAAAAGGTGATCTCCCCGATTTCAGTTCTATAATTTCGAATTGAGAAATCGCAGGCTTCTCCCTTCTGCTTGGCAAACCGTCGCGCTGCCTGTATTGTGTGTATATGTATGTCTGTTGTACATGGTGTTCTATCATTGTTGTTTTCCTTCTATTTCTAGAACTCGCGGTTGAAACCAACAAACAACAAATAACAACCCTAACCCGGAGGCACTCGACACAACACCAACACTACTACCACCACCACCCTTTCACAGATATTATAAGAGGGAGGTCACACAGAACCACAACTACACGCGCGCTCGCACACCCCCCTACAAAGCAAAGTTACCAAGACAAGTCTCCCTCTCTAATATCAACGGAGAAAATAAAAAGGATAAATGCTAGCAGAAACACACTCGGTTATCAAGACCGAACATCACGCCGCTCGCACGACCGGCCCTGGCGCCACCAACATTATCGACACCCCGAAACTGCGGGCTGCGTGCGAGAACTGCCGCCAGTCTAAGGTGAAATGCAACCTGTCCGTGTCGGGGGGCAAGGAGGCCCCCACCTCGTCGTCCTCGTCCTCATCGGCGTGCATCCGGTGTCTGCGACATGGGTTGACATGTCGGTATCGCGTTGCCAATCGGTCTGGGAAACCCAAGGGGAGTAAGAATCGGGCTACGCTACGGAAATTGGGGCAGTTGCAGCTTCAGCAGCAGCAACAGCAACAGCAACAGAATCAGCATCCGGAGCAACGGAAGCCGATGATTTCAAGAGGAGATGGTGGTCCCGGTGGGGGTGGGAATCTCCATGGCGGGTGGAATTATATTGAGCCGTTTGTGTCGAGTCAGCCACCTTCGGTGGTTGATGGGATCTTGGAGGAGCCGGTGAGTCTTTGCCCCCTTCACCTCTTTACTAGGTGTGTGCTTTTGGATGTGAAAGTTAATGAGGCTGTTCTCGATTGCTATGCAAAGAGTCCCCAGGATACCAGCCAACCCAGCCATTCTAACAGTCCTGATAGTCAGGGAGTTAGCATGACGGACGTCTCCTCGTTACTGGACGAGTCGTGCGCTGCAGCGCAGCATCTCGGGTATCATCCTCATCCTCATCCGTCTTGCATGGGGGGCCCGCCGCCGGGGGGGTACGTGCCACCACCACCACCACCACCTCCGCCGCAGCTGTCCATCTTCGACCAAACGACGACCACCACCACCGCTGCTACGTCGTCCATGTCGCCGACCTTCCTGCAGAAGGAGTTCATCACCAAGGGGATCACCAGCTGTCCACTGGCGGTGCACATGCAACCGACGTGCGACTGCGGCGACGCGCTGGTGTTCCACATGAACCGCCTGCGGTCCGTGACGACGATGGTGCATCACCCACGGTTTGATCTGCTTTTGCAAGCCATCGCGACCGCGCTGGCGACGTGCCGTATCTCCCTGCAGTGTCCTGGCTGTCCCAAAGACGGCACGCATCTGCTGTATGCCGCCTCGATCGTCGACTTTACCGTGCAGCTGTTTGATTTCGCCATTCCCTACGAGCTGTCCCTGACGGGAACCACCACCACCACCACCACCACCACCACCACCGCAGCAGCTGCTGCTGCATCGACCACCACGTCCACGTCACCGGCAACCGACCCCGGGGTGCTAGTGGGCTACGGGGAGTACGAGATCGCGCTGGACGAGACGCGCCGCATCCGGCGGTTTCTGCTGCGCGGCCGGCTGCTGCAGTGTCGGGAGGTGGTGAGACTACTGCAGGAGACGACGGAGGTGAGTCGGCAGGAGCTTTTCATCCGCGGTGGTGGTGGTGGCAGCGGCAGCCCTGGGGCGACGGCGACGGGGGCGGCGGATCTGACGGCGGCGTTCGAGAACGGGGATTTGATCCTGCAGATCCTGGCGGGACACGATGCGACGGTGGAGGCGTTTCTGCAAGCGATGGCGGGGGATGGCTGTATGTGTTGTTGTGGGTGCTGTGAGAGGCACCATCGGACGTAGTCGGTGAAGTTAGTGATACCCATCCTTCTCGAGTTGTGGTGTAGTACAATTGAAAGTGGTTCTGCGTGGCCTAGTGGACTACAATCCAATCGTTCTTTTGGTAAGCAAGTAAACACGAGCGACGAACGGACAGAAGGGACTCAGGAGAGAAGGGCATCATGAGTACTACAGTTGAACACGAGGGATGGGTGAAGGGGGGTGTAGGAGGATACTACCTGGGATTGTAACAAAGTAAGCAATGTGTGACCCTGATGAACTTTCAGCCCAGGTCACTTCAGTCGAAGTCAGGTCACTTTCTTAGCCTAGTGTAAGTCTAAGCCCAAGCCTATGTCATAGTTGTATAGAGATTCCCACCACGTTTTGCATCCATAGCAATGTAAGGTTTTCTCAATTGCATCGCATGCTTGTACTTTCCGAAAGAACGGCTCTCGGCTAGTGTGGGTATGGACCGAGGCCGAGGCATCTTCTCCATTCCCCGCATAAACCAGTAACCATAAACCACCACCCAATATTATACCTATCCGCATACAACACCCTACCTACACAACATCCACCCAAACTCCAACCTCACACCCCCAAACCAGCAGAATGAACCGGCTTACCCAGCTATCTACCCAGCTCACCTACCCCCAGGGCCTCCTGGCCAACCAAACCGCGCTCATCACGGGCGCCGCGCAGGGCATCGGCGCCGAAACCGCCCGGCTGTTCGCGAGGGAGGGGGCGCGCGTGGTCATTGCCGATGTGGATGGTGGTTAGTTTGCTGCCTTACCTTGCCTGTGTTGCTGTACTTGCGCTGCTGTACTTGCGCTGCTTTACTTGGAGCACTTGGGATTACTTGGGTCAGGGTCAGGGTTAGAGATATTGGCTTGGCTTGCCTTGCCCTACCTCCACTTGCACTGGAATAATGCCATGCCCTACCTACCCTCCTCCCAAGCAAAGCAGAGCACAGTGCAGCAAAGCAAAGCAAAGCAACATCCATACCCCCCAACCTACCACCCAAAGAAAGACCCCTAACCCCAAGAACAGAAAAGTCCCACGCCCTTGCCCACGAACTCAACACCCAGTACCCCAACCCCAACTTCCCCCAAACCGCCGTCGCCATCCCCGGCGACCTCACCGACGAAACCTACATCAACTCGCTCATCCAGCAGACCGCCGAGTTCGGGAACGGCAAGATCCACATCCTCGTCAATAATGCCGGGTTCACCTGGGACGGGGTGATCCATAAGGTAGGTAGCCCTTATAGTAACCCACCCCTTTCACTCTGATTGCTGTTGTCCTTGGGAGGGGAAGATGTTATACTAAACAGAAACGAACGGACAGATGACAACCCACCAATTCAACACCATGCTCGCCATCCACGCGACAGCGCCCTTCCAGCTCGTGCGCGCCGCGGCCCCGTTCTTCCGGGTCAAAGACGGCGAACCCCGGTGTATCGTGAATATCAGTTCCACGAGTGGGGTGCATGGGAATGCGTACGCTACCTCCAAAAGCCCTTGCCCTAGCCTACCTTACCCAACCCAACCCTTGCCCTACCCTAGCCCCTAATCCCCATGACTTCCACTCCCCCCCCCCAACCACCCAAACTAATAATAAGCTAGAGGTCAAGCAAATTACAGCACCGCCAAAGCGGCCATAACGGGACTGACCAAAACGATCGCCAAAGAATGGGGGCCGGGGTTCGGGGTGCGCGCCAACACGGTGGCGTTCGGGCATGTGCGGACCAGACTCACCGCCCCCAAGGAGGACGGGGCGGTCATGGTCACGGCGGCGGGGGAGAGGGTTGCGTTGGGGATTCCGGGGGGGCAGTTGCTCGCTAGACGGGGGGGTTCCTCCGAAGAAAAGAAGGATGGGAATGGGAATGGGGTTGGGGATGGGCACGGGAACGGGAAAGCTTCAGGTAAGGGGGCAGCCAGACAGTATCCCGATATTCCCCTCGGCAGGCCGGCGAGTGCGGAGGAGGCGGCGCGGGTGGTGTTGGCGGTGGCGAGTCCGTTGTTTGCTTATGTGACCGGGGAGACGGTTAGGGTTACTGGGGGTAGGAATATGTAGGCTTGTTTTGGTCTTGGTCTTGTGGGTGGTTTTGGGGCGGGGGGGGGGGTTGTACTGTAGTGTGGGATGAGGTGTGGGATGGGGTCGGTCTATAGTTTGTAACTTTAGATGCTAGTACATACATGCATAGTGTGCAGTGGCAAGGAGTATATACAGTGTCTCTACCTTAGTTTTAGGTTCATATTGGTAAATAAGAATGATGACTGATAAATAATGGAGTAAGAGCTGTGCCTACTACTATGGAGCCACGTATCTGCCATGCTGCCATGCTGCCATGTAAAATATACTTATGCTGAAGCGGACTTTCAGGAGTCTACCGTCTACCTATAGAACTATGCTGAGTCCATGTAAGAAAAGATGTAGTGCGATTCAGAAGTCGCATTCAATACACTAATGTACATATAGGCAACAATCATGATTGCCTGCGTTGCACTTGCCTAACATCACGCATGACCTCAGCAGTAACACAAATCAACAGCATCTACCTAACAACTTCATAGTCGCAACAGTGAAATAAAAGTACAAATATGTCCATCATAATGTTGTCAATGTGTGAATGTTGTCAAGAAGTGTAAGGCAACTAGTAACACGCTGCCAAATAATCGAAAGAATCAAAAGGTTGCCATAAGTTGCCAGTTGCCAGTCAGAACCAAGCATCAAACCACACTATGTAATTATGTATAAGATCAAAAGGCAACTCCAATAAGTCCGGGGTATTTTCTTTTCTTTCAATGCCATCGCCCAATTCAACGCCAACAAGTGTATCACCCGAGTCAACCCGAGCAAAATTCCACCCAAGTGTAACCATTATTAAACAATCCACGGCCACCTATCCTCAATAACAAGGCTGTAGCTGTAGCTGCAACTGCAATAAAAGGCAATTTATGCCAAAAACAAATAGGGTATAATAAATCCAATCCGGAAGGAGGCGTATGTCCAAAGAATGTAGTGTCGAAAAGTGAAATCTCCCGGCTGTCCTGTGGAAAAATACAGTCGAACAGTGACCCAGTAGAGACGGATGTCAAATGCCGTTAGTCGTGACCTGCGTAAAAGTGCTTTTGTTTTTGTTTCTGGATGATTCAATAAACAGGAATCAAACTGAAAGGAATGACGTGTCCCTCGGGAGCCTGGATCGGGTCCGTAGGGTAGAAGTCCTTGCAGTCTTCAGTCTCGAATCCCACAGAAGACATCGACGAGACACTGTCCATGTCGGGATAGCCTTCCGTGTAGGATGAAGCACTGGAGACCACTGAGTTCGAGAAGTCGGAGTACTGAGAGGATCCAGACGATACGGAAGATTGCGTGTTGAACGTGTCCACGGGCCCGGGCACGGGGTTGAGATAGTCAACGGGTCCGCTGGACCAGGGGATAACAGGGTTCATGGTGAACCGCGGGCAATCCAAGATCACCTGGCGGAGCTCCGGGATGGTAATCCGCTTGGAAGGGTCGCACTCAAAGATACGGCTTAGGATACAAATCATTTCATCGGACAGGGGCAGGATGGACTTGAGAAAGTACGGATCCTTGAGATATGCGCGGAACGTCGAGTCCTCAATCGAGGCCCGTTTCCACGGGTTGCGGCCGGTCGTCAAGTTTACCAGAATGACCCCGAGACTCCACACATCGTTGGGCGCTGATTCGTAGCACGTCACCGATCGCGAACTTGGTTGCTGGCATTCTATGATCAGGTCAGCTGTTGTTCATGGCAATATTTGGCCTGGTCTACCCGACAATCAAACCAAAGAAAACATACCTGGAGACATGTAGAAGGTTGACCCGCAACCAAAGTCGGATGTCAGATAGTCAGTGGTCGCCAGACCGAAGTCCGCCAGCTTGACCGTCAGGCCCTGGTCTGTCACCAGGATGTTCTCCGGCTTCAGGTCCCTGTGGTAGATTCCAATCGAGTGGCAGAAGTGGACGGCATCCAGAATTTGCAGGAACACGCGCTTGACCAGTAGGTCGTTGCCCACGAAGTTGCCCTTCTCAGTAATGCTGGAGAACAGGTCACCCTCGGGGCAGAACTCGATGACTACATAGGTGCAATCCACCGAGTCCATAATGCGCACCAGGGAGACCACGTTGGGGTGCTGGCTGGCCATATGGTGGAGCTTGATCTCCCGCTGCTGGAACTTGAGCTGGCGAGCATCCAGTCCGGACTTGTTGAGGGCCTTGACAGCATACAGGACATTGGTATGAATGTCGACGGCCGTGTAGACCACACCATAGGCGCCTACGCCCAGGATGCTGGTGAGCTCCAGCCGGTTGGCCAGGAGCAGTCCCAAGCGGTCTTCCGGAGCATAGCAGCGCGCGGGCGGAGTGGGGGGCGGAGTGGGCAGCATGGGGGGATACATGCCGTAGATGGGGGAAGGGGGAAGCATGAGCATGAGGACGGGAGGTTGAAGAGACTGGTGTTAGACACACACGAGTCTCTGTCAAAGCAAAGTAAAGGGCGAAGGAGGCAGAGACACAGTAAGGGATCGTTGATATAAATCCTGGGGTCCTAAATCCGGGTGGCGGGACGGTGGTCAAGTCAAGGTCAAGGTATCCAAGGTCCAGAGGAACGGGAAAAGAGAGAGTAGTCGCCTTTCTATCCAGTTGAGATCACTTCAGGGAGCCATTGAAGGAATGGAATCTGGAAGTCGATCAAATAGGCAGGGCAGTCAAGATCCTAGGGGTGAATGTCCAATGGATGGTGTGTCGAGGTGCGAGTGGAATATTAATCTCCTTGTTCTTTTTGTTTTTTTTTGCCTCTCTATTAGTGGGGGGAGGCGTGAGAAACCAGTGGCAATCCGAGCGGAAAGTGTTGTACAGCCTGGGATGCGATCCAGAAGACTGAAGATTGTAGTTCCGATGGGGGCCCGATGGACGGACTGTTAATAATGGGCGAGTAAGGCGAGTAAGGCGAGTGAAGAGTAGTGAGTGGGAGGGATGTATGTGTGTTGTGTTATGCGCAAGGGAAAGGGGGTGGAGAGGGGGAGGAGGAGGATAATGTGCACCAACTATATAAGTATAGAAGGAAAGAAGAAACAAGAAGCTGATACACCGATCGAAAGGGGGAGGAACAGAGACTAAAACAGACGCGGAACCAGACACAGACACAAGACAGAGAGGCGGACAGACAGAGAGAGAGAGAGAGAGAGAGAGAAGGAGGGGGAACGGGCGAGGGAAAAGGAGAGAGAGAGGGAGAGGGACGGGAAAATCAATACGGGGAAGGGAGAATAGAGTAGGGTAGGTAAGTAAGTAAAAATAAGTAGTCAGACCAGGTAAATCAGTCAAACAGTAAAAATAAATACTAGGAATTACTATGCGTAGGACTAAATGGGCGGGATGATAAGGAGGTGGTGAATTTAATTCCACGGAGTTTAGACTCGTGGCCAGAGCCACCGCAGCGGTTCCCAGGCGAATCACACGGGATTACAGACCCTCTCTAAGAACCCCACACTCCACTCGACTAACAATGTATGATGCTTAGACTGGATGGAGAGTGGATAAGACTGGATGGGGACTGGATGGGGACTGGATGGGGACTGGATGGGGGCCCGAGGGAGGCGAACAATAATAATACTGAGTATGAAAGAGCTGAGCCTGGGCGGATCCATGATTTTCCCATTCCACCCTTCCCTCTTTCTGGTCGCTCCTACGTAAGAGGTAGAATGCTTTGCCATAGTCAGACAAGTGGAAGGCAAGGGAGTGAGTGTCTTGTTTGAGAGGGTGTGCAGATGTGCAGACTGCGGACAGAGCCGGAAGGGAGGGAAGGAAACCTTAAGGAAGCAAAGGATGGAAGGAAGAAAGGAAGAAAAGAAAGAGGGAGAGGAAGAGGAGGTCAGCAGACAAGACAATAGAAAGGGAACCACAACAACAGAGAATCAACCACCACTACGGAGTAGAAGTATATCTTTTACTGCCATTAACCTACATCTACAATCACCACTCTACAGTAGCTATTAGTTAGCTTGAAGATGATAATAAACAACAATAACAATCACAACATCATCAATAACCCCACAGCATCATCAGCATCAGCATCAGCACCAGCACCAGCACCAGCATCATGAAAACATCACATCTCACATCTTCAACTTCAGAGGCGGTGTAGGTGTGACAGGTCTTGTTCTTTTGGACCACCAGATTTATTAATTCTTCCCAAATAATAATAATAATAAAAAAAAATGGCTCCACTCACATCATGCACAATCCACAATTCCCACACCACAAATCCACTTCCCAGCCTGGCCCGGGCGGAATCGATGGGAAAGGTTTCGACAGGCTCGCCTCCTCCCCCCCCTCCTCTGGAATCCATTGGCTGCACGCGGGATGCAACTGGGAATGAGAATGAGTCTGGGATGAATAAATCCGCCGCCTCTTGAGTGTCTGTCTCTCTTTGGCACCCGAAACTGCCACACACACCACCACCACCACCACCACTACCAGTTCCTCCCCGGGATTGCTGGATTGAAACGGGGCGGCAATTCTCCATATGGCCTGCGACGGTTCGAGCAACAGACCAAGATCCTGACCCTGGTTCCAGCCTCCCCCCGAGCGAGAAACCAAGTTCCCCAAGCTAGTAATTAGCAACTAGACTAGCAACCTAGCACAAAGGATCTCTCACTTCTCATCTCTGCCTCTTCCCACTCGTCACTTGTCACTCGTTGTTCCTTCTTTTCTTCTCGTGCGCCCCGTTGGCTTAAGTTCGAGTGGTCAGAATGAGGCTGGAGGAAACTTACATGAGCAAGAAGAGGCAAAGCAACCTTTACCCTTTACTGTCTACTAAAATGAGGGAAAGCCCCACCAAGCGTCCTCCCGAGTGCTGGTCCATTGTTTCGTGTGCTTGACAGGGCACGCACGACCGATCCGGGGCGGAGGGGGTAGATGGGAGTGACAGTTTGTTGTGGACAGTTTGTTGTGGTGGTCGGGACAGTAGAACTTAGACTGGAAACTGTGACTTTGGTGTATAGGTATAGACTCTGTTAGTCGACTCAAATGGAGGTAGGGTAAAAGTCTGTAGTGCCAGCTCATCCTCTCCTCTACTGTGTACATTATTACTCTCCCCTCCAGGCTCTGTCCTCGCTCCCCTCCTTCCAGGCAGGTGGGTTTGGTCACTCAGTTGAGACGGGTATCTATACGAAACGTCGAATCAAACAGGGGACAGGCGGGAGGGCGTGCCCTGTTGACACTTGCGACAACGATCTTCGACAGTGGAGGACGGACTACCTAGTACCTAGGACTACACCGTCTTTTCAATCCGATGATGCTATACACTCCTGCCGAACACTGTTGTGTGGTGTGGTTGTTGTTCAACCGTGTTCGATTCAAACCCAACTCTATTCCCCAGCAGGTGGAAAGTCTTCTGTAGTGGATGACCGACCGTGAATTGCCATGCGGACTGCCAGAAAAAGGAGTTAAGAAAATGGATCCGAAAGTGAGGCGATGGACATCAGACCAATGACAGGGCGGTTCGTCCGGATGGGGACTAGCGGCTCGGATGACTGGGCCAGCGGCTGATGATTGGTTGCTCTGCTGCCACGTTGGATGCAGTGCACTGGCAGTGAGTGCCGCCCACAGCCTGGAGTAGCAGCAAAGCAAAGCAAAGCAAAGCAGGGCAGGGCTCAGGCCGGAAGCTGTCGTCGGTTGCACGGGCCAGCAACCTCGAAACCTGGCAGTAGCAGTGGCAGTGGCAGCAAAGTCACTTTCGGTCTCACTTGATCATCAAACCAGCACTGAGTGACTACGGAGTAGTTCCAGAATTCCCTCTCTGCCCCTTATTTAGAAGTAAAAAAAGCAATCAAGGCTAGAACCAACCACTGCTCAACTACCCCCCAATCACCACCCCCAGAACCAACTCCATAACCCTCTAGACCTTTCTTCTCTCATCAGCATCATCAAACCTGGGAAGTACGGTAAGCAGACAGAGAAACACATGAGACACCAGATGTATCAATCCCATCTTGTCGTCAGCGTCAGCTCGGAGAATTCCCAATTGGGCTATCCTATGAGTACAAGAGGACAATCCCGTTCCAAACTCAATCGAAGAAGCCTTACTACTTACTGCTTGATGCCTACTGCAGAGGTTGATTGACCAGAGAGTAGGGGGAAAGTTCCGCGCTTGACCACCTGGTAAGTATTTCGCTCATGCTCATCCCGCGACGAACCTCTCTCTTCGCCTCAAAATCCAACCACCCTATCGGTAAGTATGTATGTGTACAAACAAGACACACAGGCGGGTTCGTGAGCGCATTATGGAGTACCACTGTACCAGTAGGATGTCTGTCCATGTACATGCAGTACATACATACATGTATGCTGGCTGGCTGCAAACAGACCCATTTGGATGTGGGAGAAGGAGGGGAGGGGCGAACCTGCACAGCACAAGTACACACACGCACGCACTTGCAGGAGATGATGGTATGCTTATTGGGGGCCTGAATTACTACTGCACTGCAGAAGGACTTTCGGTAAGTAGTCTCGGAGTACCGGTAGTCCATTTTTGGATGCTCGGTACTTGTACTTGTACTTGTAGGAGTGCTCCAATTCCGTGAGTTGGTGACTATACTATCGCTGCTATATACTCGGTACTCAGCGTGATAAGTATGCTACCATTTATTCCTGCTATATATATCCCATACAGTGGTCTATACACAAACCCGAACCCAAAAGCCGCACCCCACACAAATAAACATCTGAGTCCTCAGTATAGAACACCTCACATCGCATCCTCCAACTATACATCCCCTGCACTCTACCGAACCCCCCTACATAAACCCCAACGCAACATGATATCATCAATCCTCCGTTCCAACTGATTTCCCCCGGTTGGATACAACAACCACCGCCGACCAGATCCACATTCTCAGCCCCAAGCCCAAACAATTCCCTCTCCGCCTTTGTTCCAACTTCCAACGTTCCAACTTGGATGTTGTTTGCTTGCTTACCTTGATTTGGGACTTGTACGATCCAAGAGTACTGTACAGAGCACAGGTCGGTTCGGCTCAGTTTCCTCGATCAAAACCTGGCCTTCCTTAATGAAGATCCCTGTTTGTGTCAGGGAATTACCTCCGATTGAACTCGGATCGCCGCAGAAAGGAATCCCGCATCAACATCCGGACTACCTATAGTGAGATGATAGATATACGGAGTAGCCCTTGCAGTCTCGAGAAAGAGCCACATCTCACCTCACATTACGCCTCTCTCAACACCTCATAAACTCATCTGGTAGTAGCTTATACCGGCAACCTTGAACCCATTCGCAGAAACCATCCACATATAAATCAATGCCTGCGTAGCAGCAGTACACAACCGCCTTTCATTCTCCGTAGATCGATAGATATCAAACACCAACATGGGAAAAAGACAACCTGACCTACCCCATAGTCTACTCCAACAGCACAGATATAGATCCGAGCCTCAACCTCGACCTCAACCTCAACCTCAACCTCAACCTCAACTATAACACCACCCCGTTCTTAATCTATCCTCTAAATTAACCCAACCCATAAGCAGCACGTCTGCTCTGAACATACTGTACACTATAACACCCTATTCCGCGTGCACAGAGCACAGCCCGAGCTTCCAACCTCAACACAGACACAGACAGACACAGCCTTACCAAGTCCGACGGCACCGCACCACACCCATAGCCACCATCCATTCCAGAATTCATCGCATCAGCCACCCTACACCATGCCACTCATCCAATCACTTCACTTCACCCTACCTACGTACCTACGTGCCTACTAGATAGCCCAGGGTAGGGGGCGACACACTAACTGTAACTGTGACTTACCCGGTTCCACAACCTACAACCTACTACCTACAACCCACTACCTTTATCCTTGACCGTGGACCATGGGAGATAAGAAATGCAAACCGAAACCATGCCGTAGAACCCTCGGGTCGGATCCGACTTATACCCGAGAACGAAACAATATACTGTATGATGCTGGTGCTAATGCTGATGTTATGAACAATGATGATGATGATGATGATGATGATGATGATGATGATGATGATGATGATGATGGTGGTGGTGGTTGGAGGAGGCGGTGGCTGGCAAAACTTTCCCCGCTCCCAGCCCAGCCCAGCCCAGCCTTTTCCGTCGTTGCCACCTCACCAACGCCATCACTCATCACCATCACCTTTTACTCAGCTCCGTAGACTGACTAACTAGGCTCCAACCCGAAGAACCCGTCAATGTCAACTCTCCACACGACGGGAGAGACCCGCGGTTTACTAAGTAGTGGGTGTGCTGCGCCGCTGCAAGGGTGGCGGGTTATACTCCATCCAAGCTTATGCCTCCCCTACCGGAGTCTTACGTCCATAAGACCCCAATGCTGGTGGCACTGGACTGGACTGGACTGGATGAAAACGGTCATTGAGTCATCCGCTTACCTAGGTACTCAATCTACAGACAGGATCTTCGGCTCCATCCCCCATTTGGCACATTTTCAAATCTAACGGGTCAAGACTCGTTCGATAAACGCGACCGTGCTGTGGCTAACTAAAAATATTACTGCGAAGTACTACGGATATGTGCGCAGTGTACCACTATGACATAATATGTACAAACCCTCTCCCCTCCGTACAAACCTAGACCTTCGGGCGCGAGATAAACGGATGTCGCAACGCCTCCGTCGGGGTGCACCGTTTCTCCGGATTGAGGTTCAGGCAGCGTTCCAGCAGGTCCAAGAACAACGTCAGCTCCTTCGTTTCACTCTCCGTCATCCCACGGGTCCCCTTGCCCATCAGCCGCGTCCTCAAATCGCGCGTCGGCTTCTTGAAATCCACCACCCGTACAACCGCACGCCCCGTGACCTTATCCTCCTCCTGACTGTGGAAATTCAGCATCTCGTCGAAGTGCAGGTGCGTCAGCGACCCGCGCCGGAGCAGCTTCGGGGGGTATTTGCCACGGCATTCCATGATCGACCGTAGCATCTGATTGTTGTTTCGCCCCGTAAAGAGGATCTTCCCCGTAGCGATCTCGAATAGCGTGCATCCAATCGACCACACATCGATGGCGTGATCGTACGGGATCCCCAGAATGATCTCCGGCGCCCGGTAGAACCGACTGACCAAGTATGGCGTTATCTCGTTCTCCGTCGTGGGCGATGCCGACCCCAGGTCGCAAACCTTGAGAACATTGTAGTTCTCATTGACCAGAAGGTTGTCCGGCTTCAGATCGGCGTGAAGAATGTTGCACTTCCGGAACAGGCTGAGTCCCAGGAATATCTGCTGGGCATAGACTCGGATGGCCGTGAGATTCAGCCCAGTGTCGCGGCCCTTCTTGTTCACGAGTTCCCGCAGGTTCATGCCCAGGTTCTCGAACACCATGCACAGGTGGCCCTTGTGTTCGAAATACCGCTCGAACCGAATGACATGTTTCTTGTCGTCGGGGTCCGCCTCGCGTAGTTGCTCCAGAATGCCAATCTCCTTCATCCCCGCCTTCCGCATCGTATCGTTTTGTCGGATGATCTTGATCGCAACCAGTCCGCCAGTCTTGGAATCGGTTGCGCGCACGACAGACGAAAACATACCCTTCCCAAGGTTCTGCTGCACATGATACCGTCCGTTAATCAACTCACCGAGACGCACGTTGTAATAGCCCTCCGGATCGTCCCAGTTGTCCAGCATACTGACGTCCAGCTCTTTGGGCTGCGGGATGGCGGACATCGCCGAAGCATGCGTAGGCTGCGCGGTGTCATGCGTATCTTCCGCAAACATGTCGTCATCATCGTCTTCGGCGAACATATCGTACGGATCTTTCGCCTTGGCTGGGGGTCGAGGCGGCTCTGCATCAGGGAGCAGGATGTCCTGCTTGGTCGTTTGGGTTTCGTCATAAGCCGCCGCGGAAACATCCTCAGTCGAGCTGCGAGTATCGTGCTTTTCCTTCTCGGCTCTCATGTCCATGGTAGGATCGTAGTCGGCTGCGGAAACTTCATCTTTATCAGCACCATCTACAGGTGCACCATTGTTGAGCGAACCGTCATCCTTGTCAACCTTGAAGTCCGAAATTGAATCCAGACTATCGTCAGGCGTTTGAGGAGCGGACTGTGGAGCTGCATCTATAGCTAGTCAGTTTAATGTACGCTGCTGCAATGTAAACTGTCATGCTGACTTACCGGAAGGCGTGCCATTCGAAGCAACCGAAGCGGCCGTATCGGCGCTTGGGGTCGTCGAATCCCCATCGCCTCCAATATGGAGAGCCTGCAGACGCAACGGCGTAGCTTGTCCACGGTATTTCGCACGGATAGCCTCACGCCGTTTGCGGCGTGCTTCCAGTTGGGCTGCTTCGTCGACAGGTTCCTCATGCTGTTGCTCTTCCCGAGTTTCGGTAGTTTGGGCATTGTTCACGCTGCAAAGTTGTTGTGAGTATGTCCCTCCGCGACGAGAACCGGTCATATGAGCATACCTCTCAAGACGAACACTAGGGGTTTCAGAAGCTTGCTGCACCTGAGGTTTCTGAGTTTCAGCATGTGATTTTAAATCCCGAGCGACGACTGGAGCTTTCCCCCGCTCGCTCACTGACTGTTCAATAGAAGCCTTCCTTCTACGGTCACGAGACGCGACGCTATCACCGCGCTGAGACTCCCACTCATCCCCAGAGTATTGCTTTGGTTTCCGCACTTCGCGGAACGGCGACCGGCTGCGGGTGCGGGCGCGCTTCTCCCTGCGCCGATCCGACTCGTCGCTGTATCGCAGCCCCTCGCCAAAATTCTCTTCCCGATCGTAGTCGTAGTAGGGCCGGGGTCGTCGGTGGGATTGACCGCCGCGGCCCGCGTAACGGCTATCATCGTATCGGGACCCGACGCGGCGGGAGGGTTCGTATCGGGATCGTCGGTCGTCATAGTCATAGTCACGATCATAGTCGTCGTCCCGGCGACGCTTGTAGCCTCTGTGGTCGCGGTACGGGGAGCGGGACCGGGTGCGGGAGGGCGATCTGGTCCTGGTCCTCGACCTCCGGTGGCGGGGCGATCTGCTCAACGATGCTGGAGATCTGGGGGCGGGTGAACTAGCTCTGGGGGGACGGTCAACGCGGTTGCCATTAAGAGGAAGTTGCGACGTAGTTGCCTTCGTCTCTGAACCTGATTCGATGATCTCACCCTCAGAAGGGGCCGATGGAGACCTCGACCTGCGTGATGCCATTTTGCGTCCGTCTGCCGAGAGATATATCTTCTTCTCTCAACGGAGTGTGCCTAGATAGACAGATCGGCCTTTTCGCGCAGCTTCAGAGAAGAGAGAAAAAGAACTTCCGGTTAGCCAAGAATGGTTTGGATGACGCGTCAAGGTAGGAGGATATATTGAGAAAGTCCAACCGGCTGAAGATGCCACGGGCCCTTGCCAACTTTGAGCAAGCCTGAGACAAGTGTGGAGGTTTTTTTTTTTGCCTTTTGTTTTAGGAAAATATGCGAAAGATACCAGTAGAAGTGTTTGCTACTGTCTCAGTTCAATATATTCACGCGAGGATGGCTGGATTGTCGAAGAGGTAGCTGAGGCGATGAGATCGCACGCGGTATTAACAGGAACGAGGTAAATGGGGGGATAAAGCAGGTTGTTGAGATGGGATGAGCTGGTGCCAGGCGGTGACCGATGGAGAGGGAGAGATTTCGGCGCCTAACCCGGTTCTAGACTAGCGGCTCCCCGCGGGACAATCGCTGATAAGACACGATTTTTTGCGCCTCCATTTCCCCTCCTTCTCCTCTTTGCGCGACTACGCATTCTTGCCTTCATCTAACGCTCCTTTCACAAAACCTTTTCATAACCAATATCGCACAATGGGTGGTCAAAGCAGAGAAGGTATGCGCTTATCAAGGTGTCTGAGTATTGCCTATCCGCCCTCTGACTCGACTTTTTCTTTTGTCTAGGTGGCAAGGTCAAGCCCCTCAAGCAGGCCAAGAAGGCTCAGAAGGATCTCGATGAAGATGATCTCGCCTTCAAGGAGAAGCAGAGAGCTGGTATGTTTACCTATTGCTGCCTTTAACACCGGCGGTGACTTGATCATGGTCGCGAGCACCTCACTAACTGCATTGTCTCTATTCAGATGCCAAGGCTAAGAAGGATCTGATGGAGAAGGCCAAGGGCAAGGGTCCCCTGAACACCGGTGCCCAGGGCATCAAGAAGTCGGGCAAGAAATAAATCACCTTTGGGAGCATTGAGATCAGTCATTCATGATATACCACGAGCCATGACCCACGAGCGCAAGGTGGTGGAGTCGCTTGGCATTGAGCGCTATTCTCTTTGAGCAACTTTACTTGATGCATTTACAACGCTGAGCGCACACTTCATCCACTGATAATCTATTCAATAAATACCTCAAAAGCGTGACTTAGTTCCTCAACCGTTGGGAACCATCTGCACGGAACCTGGTCCCAGACTTGAGATTCGCGTCTCTCAACAAGCAAACAGGGTATCATCGCGCACTGCACAGATCAAAGAAAGACTGTCTACCATGCTTTGCTAGAACAAAAGTGAAACCCGCTGTATGCTGCCGAATTGTAAACGCAACGCTGAAAGGCATAATGCAACCAACAAACCTCGCCCAACCCACATGATCGTAAAGAAAGTATATTAAAAAAAGGGACAGAAACACCAATGCCCAACGCGCTGTCTGAGCGGATTGGGATGCAATGAAAACGAATGTTTTGATCGACCTTCAGCTGGTCACTCGGCTGACCCAGAGGCCGGAGCCGCCCCCATAGCAATCGAGCTCATCACGTTTCTTCCAAGCCTTCAGTAGCTTCACGCCAATCTCATGCTCCTCTCGCTTGATTTCTGCAAGTTCACTTTCGAGACTGGCGACCGTTTTCTTCACCTCATCCCTAGCGGCTATGTCATAGGCGACGGAACTCGGCTGGATAACTTGAGTCAACTCGTAGATGATCGTGTTGATATTGGCCTTGCGACGCGTAAGGGTCTCCTTGCGGGCTTCAAGCGCCTCAATCCGGTTTTGATTCTGTTGCTGGGGAGTGATAGCTATGGGTTCTTTGACCGCCTCCGCCTCCACAGCGGCCTGGGATGGCGTGGGCTTTCTGGTCGGCTTCTTCCCGGGAGCCACTGTGCTCGGCACGGGTCGGCTACGAGACATGATGGAGGGCTGACACTCCGTGGACACAGATGCAGTGTCAGCGACAGTATCGATGCTGTTACGCCTGCTACCTATTGAGCTGCCTATTTCGGTAGGGTCGTAAGTGGTTGCGCTGAAGCGGCTTGTGGGTTCTTCAGCCATTTCGTGAGTAGTCAACTTAAGATCCATTAACGAGGATTCCCAGTCTGTTTCCGGCGCTGGAAGCTCGACCCGAGGTGGGACGCGGTTGCTGCTGCGGACGGTTGGGGTGGATGCCTCGGGTGTCCTGGCACGGGGATTGTTCCTGGTAGTGCCATGGTGCCTGTCTGTAGGTCGAAATTCGCCGGCTGTGATTGTTGTCACCACGGTAGGGACCATTCCGCACGCCGCGAGGTCAGAAGCTGCTGAGCCGTTGTGTGCTCTCATTTGATCATACCTGCGGATCGTGTTCGCTCTGGGTCGTTCCTGGATAGGCTGCACTATTGGCGATCGTCCACTGGGTCCCTTCCATGGCTCGCGAATGCGTGGCTCTGAGGGGGGTTTCCGGGCACTTTGCGTGTTCCATCCAAGACTATTCGACCCGTGAGATGACGGAGGTGTGGCTGACATGTCGGTGCGGACCGAAGCATTGCTGGAGGCTTGCTGCCCAAACATGCCAGAATGGCTTGACGTCGAGCCCCTCGAAAAGTTGTCCTGCCTACTTGCGTATCCTCTCGAGGACGGGTTTGCTGGTCGAGACTGATCCACGGGGGAGTAACCGGTCTTGCGCACCGGCAGCTGACTGGTGAACCTGGTGTTTTCCTTCTTCTCCATCGGGTCGATACCAAGGTCCGGCCTGGATTCGTCCTCTATGGGGGAGACGCGGGAGCTGCCGCGACTAAGTGGTGGCCGACTTAAGGAGACGGGTGAGTCGGGAGGAGAGATCTCAACACTTTCAGGCCGACTGAGATCGTGACCGAGGATACCTGTCTGCAGTGGAAGATCTGTCAAGCTGACCGAGCGGTGGTCAAAGAGATCATCGGATGCAATGCTCGGAGCGATGCTTGGGGCCTTGGATGATGATGCGACCCTGCGACCTGAGTACGGGTGATGCGCGGGATTGAGTGAGTCCGCTTGGTTGCTAGAACGGGTCAGCAAGTCAAGTATACTTTGCAGGAAGATGTAGTCACAGCTCGACTACTTCAACTTACCCTCGAGAAGTCAGGGAACGGTTGTCGGTGCTCTGAGTGCCTGGGCCGCGAGACCAGGACTGATAGACACTATCGTCTAGAGTTTTGTCGATCAAGGTGGGATTTCCAATAACCGGCTTTCGCGATCGATGAAGGTGCATTTTCCCCCACATTTTGACGATAGACCCTCTGGGCGGATGCTATAGCTTGTGAACCAGCTAGTTTGATGGTCAAGTGTCAATGTTGCGAGGCTTAAAGCTTGGGCGTGATGTTCGATAAGACCACTTTGCGCCAATGTCGGGTTGGAGCAGATTTCAACAGGGAGAAATATCAAGAATTAGAAAGGGAGATAAGTCAAGAATAGTAGGACAGTTTAGTCAGATGGAATAAGCAATGTGACCAAGATTCAGGTAGCTAAGTTCAAGCTTATTATGCGAAGGACAGACGTGCCGGCACGTCATTCAAGAAAGGATCAGTCCACCACAATTGAAGGAGAAGACAAAGGAAGTTAAAGAGAGTCTCATAGATAGATGATCCAATTTCGACGAATATGGGGCGGGCGACCAGGCACTAGAATTAATCAAAGAAATTACAAGAAAGAGGGACTGAAATGAATGAGAAGCGGGTGAAAGATCGAAAGGGAAGAGAAGAGAAGAACGAACGGCCGGAGCAACACACAGACAGACCATAACCGCGTCTTCTGGAGCCGCGGAGGTAGTGCACTGACTGAGTGTGCCCCTCTTGAATTGCGATGCCAACCAGGCCGGGCTTGTCTGGAAAGTCGACCGTTAGAGAGCCCGGACGGAGCTAGTCTAAGAATAAATGACGAACTAGTGGACTGACAGCAGCGAAGGAAATTGGCAAAGCGGGTGAGGGTGACTGTTTCAGAATGAATTGGTTTAATTATAGGAGCTCCGAGAGCCTGGTGGGTTCGAGACTCGAGCGCATTCCGAACTCCGTTGCAATCTCAGGAATTGCGGATCGCTGCAATAATTGAAGCCTCTGCAGAAAGCTGCAGAATGATCAGCCACGGTCTCGTGCAGCACGATAACCAGGGATCATTTACAGAGCCATCAGCGTGACAGTAGGGAATAATCGAACCCAGAAAGTCCTGTAGACGATCATGAATCTTTTGTTGCTGCATGATCGAACCTGAATCAGCCAAAGTAGCCCGCGGCGCGATCCAACGGAACCGAATCGCGCTTCCGCGCTTACCGCCTTAATCTCCACGAATAGCCGTCCGTTTTTCTGGCTCCGTTCTCCGCACACTGAGCTGTGGCGTTGATTGGCTCCGAGGTCCCTTCTGCCCTCAATTGCCGTCATACACCGGCCGGGGCGACTTCCATCATCCATCATCAATCCATCTCAGCTCAACAATCCCATTCATCCTCCAAACAACCACATCCTCATCCGTGTGTCCATCAACCAGCACAAGAGCCACATCCTAAAATGTCCAGCCCGGGTAATCCTCCCCCTAAACATTTCCCCCCACCCAAACATCACTAACACACACCACCAACAGACGGAGCAACAACTTCCCCACCGGCCGAAGTGTCAGTAAACCCCAACATCTCCAAGCTGACAGGCACTGCACCCATCCCTCACAACACCCACTAATCCATAAAACCAGAATGACAATTGCCTCCCCCATCAACCTCATCCTCCTTACCCTCTTCATCATCCTGGTCTACATCCAACTGCGTCCCAAGGCCCCCGTCGCCCTCCCCAAAGCGCCCCCACCCGTCGTCTTCCGCACCTTCACCCCGACCACTCTTCTGCCATTCAACGGCACCGCCGATCAACCCGTCTACCTCGCCGTGCGCGGCCGCGTTTTCGACGTCACCCCCGGCCGTAACTTCTATGGACCGGTAAACTGCCCCCCCCTTCACACTCAACAAAAGTCCGAATCACTAGCTAAAACCAATCGTGCGTGACAAAACAGGGCGGACCCTACGAGAACTTCGCCGGTCGGGACGCGTCCCGTGGGTTGGCGTGCCAGAGCTTCGATGAGGAGATGTTGACCAAGGATCTGAAGGGTCCGTTGGATACGTTGGAGGATCTGAATCCGGACCAGTTGGAGAATCTGCAGTCGTGGGAGGAGCGGTTCTCGGAGAAGTACTTGGTTGTTGGGAAGTTGGTGGCTGAGGGGGAGGAGGATGCTTGAGTGGAGACTCGGTGAGTTTTGGGGGTGGTGTATGAAGCAAGGATGGCGGTGAGGGGGGTGACGATTATAGATAGGGCGGTGATGAACAGAAGGCTGTTAGAATGTAAAGTTGGCTTGTTCGGGGTTGATATGAAATGGTTGAGTGGACTCAAGGTCTTGACAGGTAGTAGGTTGGATGAATTATGATATTATGGTTATTCAATTTGTTTACACAAGTACTTTCTGATAAACCTCAACAAATGACGTTACCATATCAGCACAGAAGCAGAAGTGTTTTGAAGAGGAAATAAAGTAAATTTCGAGACTAATTTGCCAACCAATAACTATTACGTTAAGTCATAAAATCATGTCCCACCAGCACCACCATACCCCAGTTCTTTGTAATCCACCCTCACATTGCAGAAAACCACACTTTACAACTCCTTGCGCAGGCTCGCGGAAGCCTCGGCACCCTTGGTCTTCACCTTGTCCGCGACCTTGAAGCCCTGCGTCTTAGCTTGTTCCTTCGCGACCTCAGAAGCCTTCTCAGCGGCCTCCTGACCGTGGGCCCTGCCGCTTGCGGCTCCAACCTTGACTTGCTCCCAAACCCACTGGGAAAGGTCCGAAAGCTTATCCTGGAGCTTGGCGAGGATGGTACCCTGAGGAGTGGAGGTTCCGTGTCTGAAGTACTCAGCGTTGCGGCGGGCCGCGGCCTTGAGCTCGTTGATGCTGGAGCCCTGGTAGACGGGGATACCATACGAGTCAAGGTATGCCTTGAGATCGGAGTGAGACCAAGAGTCAAAGGCAGAGCCCTTAGCGACATCGGTAGCCTGAGCCATGTAAGAGGTAGCGGAAGCCAGCTGGTCACCGCCAGCCTTGGAGGCCTGGGCATAGGTGTCCTGAGCCTGCTTGACAAGCTCTTCACGGGTAATGTCGGCCTGGTGGGCAGCCTTCGAGTTCATGGAAGCGAGATACTTCTTCAGGTGCTCAGTGTCCCAGGTGTCGAAAGTCCAGGCACTCCAGCCAGTGGCAGCCTTGTGGGCGTTCAGACGGACCTGTGCCAGGAGCTCATCGCGCTTGCCGTTCTGAGGCACGGGAACACCGCGGGCGTCAAGGTATGCCTTGAGACGAGAATCGGACCAAGACGCAATAAGAGAGTCAAAGGCTTCCTGTCCCTTGTACTGAGCAACGTCAGTGGCGCGGGTGAACTCGTTGCCAGCCTTGGTGGTGGCGGCACCGATAAATTCACTGGCAGTGGAGGAGAGGCTCGCAGAAGCGGTAGCAGCAGCAGTCGAAGCCTGGCTGACCAGAGAGGCACGGTGCTTTCTCGCTAGAGCTACAAGCTCGTTGCGCTTAGAGCCCTGAGGGACCTTCACACCGTGCTCATCGAGGAACTTCTTCAGGTCGGAGTCGGACCAAGCGCTGAACAAAGCTTCACTCAAAGTAGCCTGGGCCTTGTCGGCAGAAGCAGAGGCAGAAGCAGCAATGGCCTTAGCCTGCAGTCCAGCCAGTCGGGCGTTACGGCGAACGGTGGCGATGAGCTTGTCGCGAGTGGAGGGCTGAGGAACAGGCCAGCCACGCTCATCGAGCCACTCCTTCAAATCAGACTCAGACCACTGAGCATACACCCAGTTACCAGGGTAAGAAATGGCCTCGCCAAGCTTTTGGGCAATGGTTTCGTAGTTCTCGCGGACAGCCTTGAGAAGAGTGTCACGCTTGCGTGGCTGAGGAGCGGGAATGCCATGACGATCAAGGAAGGCCTTGAGCTGGGAGTCCGACCATCTAGACGAATGTTAGTAATAAGACCAGGGGAGTATTGTCGATATACACGTACGTGTCAAAGAGCCATTCCTTAGCATTGTGCCAGTGGTCCGGAGATTGTTCCACAGCATGTCCCAGAGGCTTCTGAACCTTAGCATCCCAGTTTGTCTTCACCAAGCTCTCAAGATCTTTACGGTCGGCAGGCGAGGGGTAAGGAATGTCTGAAAGCATCGTCAGCACTAACCTCACCAAAACGCAGAAAGGGCTTAACGTACCATGGTCGGCAAGCCATCTTTCCAACTCAGTTTCGTGCCATTTGTTGTATACTGTCGAGATGCATTAGCGAGCGAAGTAAGATTCACTGTGTTCGACTTGAAACATACCAGCTTTGCTGAACCAGCTGGATGCGCCGACAGCCTCAGCTGTTGCCAGTACAAAGACTAGGCAGAAAGCCAAATGAAGCTTCATTATGGCTCAGTCGTGATTTAAGGTCGAAATTATAGCCGTATCAGTCTTATCGGGAGGAGATTGAAGATTAGCTTATCGCTGCCTCTAGCGTTTTGCAGCTTTGCTGAGCCACTTACTGTCGTTGATGATAGCGGTTGTTGATGAGAGAGAATTGAAGGAGTTAAGGTCCAGGGATGAGGATAAATTTATTGTTGTGAGAGAAAGAATGAGCTGTGGATAGAATCAGGGAGGCGGCGCTGAGATGATCACCGAGTGACGTAGTGATGTGGTTGCTGGAGCTGTCCATCAGTCGACGGCTGGCGTCATCGATGAATGGGTGGCCCATGGTCGGTCGGCAGAGGCGTCTGGGCGCTTTCGGCTCGTAGTGCATTCTTTGTCGTACCGGGTCAGCAATGACCTGTGAATGATATAGTTACTCTCTTTTTTTGGTCTCCCTTCGATCTTCGATGTGTATCGTGTTCTTCATGGAGTCGTGGACCAGCGTACTGCCAGGCACATGATCTTCCACTAGCTACTTAAGGATATCCAAATAGACCTTACCATTTTGGGATAGAATGCGGAGATGGACGATAAGGAAGGAAAGCATTCAAGCATTCAAGCATTCAAGATTATCATCGCAGTCACTCACCCCTTCGAGTATCGATCAGTGACATATCATCCTTCATCTCCTCGTTTGTCCACCCTGTGTACTACATGTGTACATGTGTGCGCTGGTTCGACACATGCTGTTTTAGAGTCCAATAATTCTCCTGTCTCTTGCCCCCCCCCAACCTGCACTCCCCGCCCCTATGCACCGGGCTCATAGACCGCCCTTACGCTCTCTAACTCCCATCATCCCGTCCAGCAACTTGCATGTCAACAGCCTCTTCCTCGATACACAGACGATCCTAGAATCGGCTTTGTTCACCAAGATGGATTCCCTCAGTCTACAATGCGGGCAACTGGATTCGCCCGACTACAAGAATTTCATTCTCTCCATGTACGTTCTTCCCCTCATACCTACCAACATAAGAACAGCGAGCAAAGCAACGAAATCAACGATTCTAACCCAAAACCATCCAGTCTAATCGTCTTCGGCATTCTCCTCTCCTACCTTCCCCAACACATCCGCATCATCTCGTTGAAATCCTCGTTCGGAATCTCCCCCTACTTTGTCCTCCTCGGCACGACCTCCGGCTCGTCCGCCCTCGCCAATGTCGTCTCCCAACAACAGAGTCTCCACGACATGTCGTGCTGCAAGCAAATCAGCGGACTAGGCTGCTTCTCCGCCCTCCTAGGGATCCTCCAAGTCGGTACTCAATGTCTCTGCTTCTTCCTAATGTAAGCATGCCCCCCAAATTTGTCTAACGCATGGGTATTCGAACTAACCCACGAAACCCGCAAACCAAAACCAGCCTCTTCCTCTTCGTCCTCTTCTTCCCCCGCCACCAGCACTACGGCATCGACCACCGCCGGACCACCCCAACCTACCGCACCGCGCTCACGGTCGCAGGCATCTGCATCGTCCACGCCCTCGTCATGCTCATCACCACCCTGGCCGTCGGCCTCCGCCGGCCCGAGGCCCTCCAATCCTGGTCCAACTTCTGCGGCGTGCTCGCCGCCCTCCTCGCCTCGGTCCAGTACTTCCCGCAAATCTACACGACGGTGCGCCTCCGCTGCGTCGGCAGCCTCAGCATCCCGATGATGTGCATCCAGACGCCCGGCAGTCTCGTGTGGGCGGGGAGCCTGGCGGCGCGGCTGGGGCGGGCCGGATGGAGTACCTGGGGGGTGCTGATCGTCACGGCGTGTCTGCAGGGGACACTGCTGGCCCTGGGCGTGTGGTTCGAGTATCTGGGTCCCGACAAGGGCCACGGCCACGACGATGAGGGTGACGCCTCGAATAAGAATTCCGCTAATGGTGGAACGGGACCGGCCCGTGGTGTTGAAGCAGAAGACGGAGAAGAAGGCCAGGGCCGGGATCACCCGTCCGAGGAGACGCCGCTTCTTGGGGGATGAAAGCTTCCATCCTCTTATTCGGGTTATTGTCTAAGGGTCTTTGGCATATATAGTGTATGTAGATCTCATAAGGTTTAATTGGCTGTATAGCATTTTGGTCTGTTGAGGTGTATCCAATGGATTGCCTGCATTGGCTTGATAGGCTTTCGTTCTTGTACCCTGATCCTATTCATTGGCTTGGCTGTATACGCCAAGTAATTTCAGTCTCTCCGAATACTCGTACTTTAGACTCAGGAGCATGCGCATTGCACGCCGCTGCCGCGGCGGCACTCAGTAAGAGGAACGGGGGATTCTCTCCTAAATCCCAGACCACCTTCTCGGAGCCCAATCACCCATTAACACATAAGGCGTCGAGGTACACAAAAAGAGCAGGAATACAAAGACCATTACCACATCACCAAGAAAGTACCAGATTTGCCTCATCCTGAACACAACTACAACCACAGTATCACCGCACACACATAAAACAACTAAGAGGTAGTTCAAGAGATTTGAAAAGAGCTTCTCCGCGAAGAGACGCACAGCGAAAAGGGGGCATGGCATGTTCCAAATGAACCAAAAGCATCCAATCTCAAGATTCCTGGGCTCTGCCTCCGCCTCTCACTCTGTTTAAACCCGAAACCTGAAATTTGAAAATGGATTCATTATCTTCGTTTCGTACGGGATTATCTGCGGACTATGGGCAGGTCTTTCCCCTGTTATACAGATAGAGAAAAGATGACCGTTCCCCAAAGCCGCAGGCCTGATCCCTCCCCCTCCGACGTTTCCTTTCCACTGCGCGACGACGACGCTTTATACCTAACAAAACACCAATGGAACCATTTATGCGTTGTAAATCAGACGGAAGATGTCGTTCTGGACGTAGTAGCTGCCGTTCTCGGGGATGAGGTTGAAGCTCTGGGTGTAGTTCATGGGGTTTTGCTCCTCGTCGACCTGTGCAGTTGAGATTGGTTAGATTTTTTTTGTAGGTCTGGCGGGGTTCGTGGGAGCTGAATAGATTGAGTCAGATGATAAAGGGAGGGGGAGTCATACCAAGAGAGCACCGGTGACCATGACCAGGATGCTACCATCCTGGCTGGAGGGCTGAGCGTCGAGGGTGTTGACCTTGTGGACAACCTTCTGGAAGGGGAGGCTCTGCAGGATGAGACAAATTCACATCGCAATGCGTTAGTCCATCGGGCTTTGATTCCCCACAGAGAGATTTCCATGGAAACCGGAGAACTCACGGTCAGCTTCTCAACGATGTTGGAAACACCCTGGATCGAGCTGGTCTCGAAGGTGAGCATGGAGTGGTCGCGCTATGTCACGAAAGATCCATTGCGTTAGTCGATCGTCTTGCGTCTGAGCTGAGAGATGCGCATGACATACGTAGAGTCCGGCCAGGGAGGAGCGGTCGGCGTCGAAGGTCTGGTAGTAGAACTGGACGAATTGCTCTGTTGGGCCGCGGTTAGACCGAAAGTTCATCGGTGGTGTCGAGGAGCGACAGAGCTGGGCTCTGCGAGGATAGGTCGATGCATCATTATCACATACGGGCAATTTCACTGAAGGCGGCTGGAGATTGGTTCGCATCACATTAGTCTCTTTTCTGGTAGCTCGAGGGGCAGATTGGAAGCCGGGTATGGAGGGGTTCTCCCGACAGAGCCTCATGGAGGGGCAGCAAAACATTGGGCGGGGGATGAGTAATATAGAAAATCATGTTCAATAGCAGAAAAGGAGTAATTCACTTACACATTTTGACGGTTGGGAGTCTGCAAAGACAACGGAGATGGATAAAAAACAGAGAGCTGGCTGAGGGGGCAATAGGACAATGGGATAGAAACGAGGGGAAGAGACGAGGTTGATATCAACACCGAAAGTCTTTCCGTCGCGAGGGGGTTGTGGGGCAAGCCGACTTTACCCATTCAGGATGTTGCTGCCTTAACCTTTTGTCAGGCATTTATCCGGGCTTCAAATGGTGCGTGCTACTCAATACATTGTTCGATCGATCGCTCTGTACAGTTTTCATGTTCATGTCCATGTCATACATCCCGTGCTCTGCTTTCCTGAAGCATTGTTTACTGATGGTAATCCGCTTGCTTGTTGAATGCTATAATCACTCCGAGTCCGAGTCTGCAAACATATCCTCTGCTTTAGGCCGTGGTTTGCGCACCGGAGGCTGAGGTTGCGGTTGGGCTGCCGCTTCAGCTACTTTCTCCGGCGATGGTTTGCTCAGCTCGCTCTCATCTTCGGGAGGGTCTTCCTCCAATGGCTCACCATCCGATAACTCCAGGTCACTGTCCTCCATTGGCTCGCCATCAATGTCGCTCATTGACACTTCGTCGAGATTCTCCGCCGTCGCATACTCATGCTTGACCTGGTCAACATCCATGCGATCCGGTTCGGCTGCCGCAGCGCGACTGGGATCGAACTTTCCAGAAGCTGCATCCTCGTCAACTGCCTTCCAGCGGTTTTTGTTCTTGGAGAACGCGCTCGCCACTCGTTCGGCTTCGGCCTTCTCTCTCTCTTCTCGCAGCTCTTCTTCTGTGAGGGGGGGCTTCTCGAAGATCTGGACGAATTGCTCCTGGCTCGACTGCGGAAACACGCACCAACCTTCCCATAAGTTGAGAAGAGAGCCAACGCTGCGCTTCCATTTTTCGGCTTTTAATCGACCCCAGCCGAAGTCTTTCTCTAATCTACCAAGATGCTCGAATGCTTTCTGCGTCTTTAGTGCTGACTCGAAAAGCTGTCTGTATCGCCAGGCATGGCGCACACCACTCGTGGCAGACGACGAGAGGATGTCTGACACGAGATACAGACCCACCAACTTAGCAGAGGACGTGTCAAGAGTTTTCGAGGCCGTCCGCCCATCTTCGGCTGTGTTGTCGTTGGCTGATTCTCCAAATTGCTCCTTGCGAGCAAGTCCTTGTTCAGCTTCACGGTCCGGATTGGCCCCCGTAAAGGCATAGGGTTTGATGATATTGGCAACAATCATCTCCACAACCTCCTCGGCCCCTGCCCCAGCATGTTCAATGGCAAAAGCAGTAACACGGGCAACATCTCCTTTTCGTAGCTTGGCATGGGTGGTTGGCAGCCGTGCGAGTAGGTGGGTCAATTTGGCCTTCTGAAGAGGATTCATGTATCCCAGCCCCTCGTTACCAGCGCCCGGTCCTTCCGCTGGCGGTGCTCCCCCGGCCACACGTCTCTCATCTTCATAGTCCGACATCTCCTCGTCAGACGAGTCGTAATCGTCGTCCGTGACGAACTCGTCCATGTTGGTAGTGTACTCGAATTTAATATGAGCCTCAGGTGGAACCCAGTGTGCGCCACCCTCAAAGATAAGTGACGGGTTTTGAGGTTGGAACCGACCCCGTCGACCACCGGTAGGTCGACTGTTGGTCAAGACCTCCCATAGCTTCCACCGATAGTAGACACCGCCAGCGCTCCGGGCGTTCCAGATCCAAGCCCATTTCTCGTCCCTCTGGACCTCCGGCCTACTCATAAGCAAGGCCTCAAACTCCGGACCATAGCTCAGTAAATTCTCCAGCGTCTTATGTATCAGTCTTAGCTGCTTGAGGTCTGACGGTGCTTTCACCTCAACCTGTGTCGTCGGGCCACTGCGCCCGAATGCAGGATTATACGACGTTGGCGGTGCAAAGCCGCCGCGGTGCATGCCAGGAGGCGGAGCTCGATTCAAGCGTCCGGGAATATCGGGCTGGGTAGACTTGGCCCCGAATGGAAGGGGGCTTGTCGAGGACTGACTGACAGTCACCGGCATTGTGGAACTAATAGCCGCAGAGGACAGATGCCTCGAGATCGACAGATAGTAACCCCAGCCCAGGTACTTGTTCTGAAGAGCGCTGACAGTGCTATCGATATCCGATGCTGCAGATTCGTTTGCAAGGGTCACGATGGCAGCGATCGACTTGCGATCGGTCGGGGCCTGTTGGACGGTCGAATGCAGTATCCTGACATTATCCACCGTCAGAAGCGAGGGGATTATCGACTTGATAACCGACGGGGACGTCCCAGGAGGCAACGAGGCCAGGTACAGTGTTGGTTTGGCCGCCGCCCTCTCCGCCTCCTTCGCATCGGCAGTCGCCTCGTCCTCATCGTCCGACGCGCGGAACGCGGACGCGGCAGCCGACGGGCCCGGGCCGGTGTTATCAAAGCCCAGGATCCCCTGCGCGGTGTCTCGGTTCCGCTGCGCTGGCGGGAAGCCTTCGTGGTTGCGCTTTCGCGACAGCGACGGCGGAGGGGGTCCCAGCGTGCCAGGCCCGCTCAAGCGCGGACCGGAGCCCGTGAAGTGCCGTCTACCAGGGCCACCTGCAAACCCTTGATTCTTGTGTGGGAAGCGGTTCGGTCGTCCATCGGCAGAGGGTCTATCGGTGCCGCCGTGCGAGTCATCCTCGAATGACTTGACAAAGTCCTCGTACACAGCCGCGGTTTCGGCTTGCTCTCGGGCTCGTTTGGCTTCGGCTTCGGCTTTCTGGCGCTCAAAAAGCGACTTCTTAGGAATGGCCGATAATTTGGCGGAGAGGTCGGGGAAGGCTTTTGATTTGGAGTCGTCCGACATAATGACGAGGCTGCGGTCGCAGCAGGGTTCCTTGTTGCGGAGACCACGGAAGTTGAGACAATGAAGCGCGGAGTTACCTTACTTGCGGGTGGAAGCTGATCGGAGCGGAAGCGGGAGGCTGCTGGTTTGTTGCCTAAGGCAGGAAATACGCTTGTAAGGAAGGAAGTATGAGTAAGTTTACTCTACCTTCAGCCAAGCATCTTTCATCACTCTATCCTGCATATTGCAAGTTCACATCCGCTCAAGTTGCATCGAACTCTCCGTATTGATTTCAATTTGATCACAATGGCGGCGGCTCAGGTACAATCTCTACTTCGCTTTCTATCGCAGGATGCCAAAGTGCCACTTGCGTCCGCAATGGGTAAAGTCATGGAACTTCAGAAGGCCGGCCTAATAACGTATGACCTGTTTTGACATCCGGATATAAACATAGCAATCCATCTGATAGTCGCTTAGTCCTGAACAGATCTCTAAATCAGAACTCAAAGCTCTCCAGAACATCTTTAAGGATGACAAGGTGGCGAAACAAGTCATGAACGCCGCAAAGAGAATGTGCAAAAAGAGAGGCTCATCTACTGAAGGCACGACAGCTCCCTCAAAGAGAGTCAAAGGTCCCCGCACAAATATATCCAGCACCCCTTTTGACGCAGAATGTGCGCTTGCTCTTCCCGAGTCGAATATTCCAGAAGAAGATCTATCCAGCATTACCCTTATCACAAACCGAGCACCACTCGTGCTTGCATTTGCTGTGTGCGTGCTACGATATACAATGCCCGAGCAGCCGATTTCTAGCAGACTGAGTCTTGCCCAGGCTGTGGTAAGTGCTAATAGTCGATCGAAGGCCGCGAGCTTGGGTATTGAGAGTGAACCCTCCGCTGAAGCAGAAGGATGGGGAGAGGGCCAGCCGGTGGTGAAGGTCCTGGGCAGAGAGGTGAAAGTGTTGAAGAGATGGGACTATGATTCGCGAGAGGGTCGGCCGCTGAATCCAAGCACAGAACCGGATGCGAACGCTCCTGTCGTGTCCGATGATGTTCTGGGGCAAATATCCCAGGACGAATCAGACAAGGCACCGCCACTCTGGGGTGTTGATACGGATGCCATGCGAAAAGCTCAGAGCTCGAACCAGGATATGAAAGTGGAAAAGCCTTTGCCTATCTTCACTCCTGATTCGGCACGATCATATTTGCATAAAGCATTCACCAAAGCTTCTGATGAAGACGTACCCTCCCGCAGGAAAGCCACAAAGAATGCTTCCCTGCTGGAAGCTGAAAAGGAGGAATGTCTCGCGCATCTTCTACGCGCCATCAATATTGTCTGCCAGTCCTGGGCCTCCAGTCTCGCCAGGGACGAATTGGACCGACGTGCATGGGCCTGGTACTTGCGTGTCCGGCCGGCAGTTCAGAGTGGAGCAGGAGGCTGGGGGCAGAAAGGACCAGTCAGGTTATGTGATATTCTAGCTCTGAAGAGACAGCCGTGATTGTAGATGCAGATTTCGCGATGCCTGAAGATGTGACGAGACCGGTCCTGTCAGGCTGGGATTAGGCAGTAGGCCGATTCAGCACAGCTGACGAAGCCCCCACCCTTGCACAGTAAGTTACATCATATGACTGAGTATGTAGTCTTGTCTGATTTGTTCGATTGCATGGTAGAATCAACGAATCTGCGTGACGTTATTGGAGAGTCCCTGCCATCGCGTGAGCCCGAGCGTTTTGGACTGGCGCTGGCCAAATGCGTTATGATGACAGCCCCACCTCTCGTTTCAGGCCCTACAGAGAAATTCTTGTCCCCGGATGAACCTATCATGTTATTCTACCACACAGATGTGTCAAGCATATCTCATTGAATGAAAATGTATCCGTTTAGTGTCGAATGTTTCTTTCCCAGCGGCAACATGACCCATGGGATTTGATAGCCGTCGTAGCTTGATGAATACTTACTCCGCAGGCCACGCATTGGCATATTCACGGAGTATCCCATGCAGTCATCAAGAGCTGAGAGACATTTGACCGACAGAAGAAGAAACCCAGGCCTAGATAGACCTGTTTGCGCAAGCGGACCACCGGTGCTCTCCAGTTAGCCTGGATGGTTATGGCGTTTGGGTTCCCGGACCCAGTATGATGCAAAAGCAACTGTTCGGTTCTTGATCGGCGAATCTGCGGAAGGAGAGTCCTTTGGGGGAACCTTAGTGGGTTGGAAACCATCGTGATTGTTTAGCCATGATTATGGTAACCAGTAGCAAATGTAATCTGGACCGATCTCGGTGGTGGGCTGATCTAGAATGGGCTGGGAGTTAAGCCCGAGGCAGACCATGAGGGGCAGGCAGACAGCCCTATGTCCGATCCACTTCAAGTAGGCCAGTCCGAAACCCAGGCTGGGTATGATAGAACGCCATGCAGAGATACGATTCTAAATAAAAACGCCGGTTCAACTATATAGGCTTGTCCCATGACTATCTTCTAGTTGCGGATGTGTTCAAGTGCCGACAAAAGTTGAGAGGGGAAAAAATAGCAAGACCATCCATCCCAGTGTCATTCGATTTACCTGATGTATCTCTATCTCTCCCCGCAATGATCCAGGATACCTGGAAAGGGTATCTGAGATTTAAAGCATCTGGTTGTATGAGTAGGTGAACTAATTCGTAACATGCATTTCTGGTGGACCGCCACGTTGTCTCTCTGTCTGGCCAACTCCAATAGACATTGTCCGATTCGTCTCCGTTCTCCATGCGTAAGACGTACCAAAGTCATGTTGTGAATTCTTGTCATCTCTCCTGGATCCTTTCCGACTGCACATTGGGACTGGCCAAATCTGACCAGAAAGTCTCCACCGCCCGATCCACTGCTGCGGTGTATCCTTGGTGCACTGGCACTTTGTATCGAGGGAGCGACCAGCCTTCAACCAGTCTGATAGGAGGATACCTAAATTGTTTGGACAGTGCATTTCGGACAATACATATGTGTGGACGATTTAACTCGCTCTTCATACTGTGGAACAAAAAATCCCGCTTAGTGAGCATTTATCTGACTATCTTATTAATCAGCCACGGCCGTGACCCCGAAATCTATTCCTACCAGTCTATAGATGATCTCCGCGTTCAATTAGTGTCTGATATATTGAGTAATCCTGTGCTTGGCGTTCATTGACAGTAATCGCCATGAGTCTACATGAAGAATTTGAACATATAAGGCAGTGGCGTATGTCTATTCGCTAAACATCTTTTTCATTCTCGAGCTAGCGAAACACTCATGAATAGTAAATTGAACTATACTCCTTGATAAGCTCAGCCTTATATGCGCTGTCATCTGAATCGCTTTGCTAACGACGGGCGCTTTATACCGCGTTCATTGTTAACCTATATCTTCCGATTTGGTTGGCCCGAGTCCACACCTGGACTGAGTTTGAAGACTAGCTCGAACTCGAGGATCTCCAACTTCCTGTGATGCCTCTGGAACAGGACTAGAAGTAAAGTTGGGTTCTAGTGAGGTTGTAGGCACCCGGAATGCCGGCACATGTGCTGACAGGGGACTGGACTTCCCAAATCGTGCCCTGGGCCCTGTGGGTGTCGCTTTTCTTCTTCGGTACAAGGTTGCCAAAATATGCACATGTGCAGCGGCGGTTTTAGACCCAGCGTCTCTGCATCAGTGCATCTGAAGAGATGAGCCTTGCCCTTGTCGGCTGTAGATATTGCAACTTTGGTCCCGGGTGCGGGGCATGGAGTATTCACATCAAATATTTAGCCCCGACGGGGAAGGCCTAGGTCATTATAAAGTAGAGCCTCTGCTCCTGAACAAGGCCTGCCCTGTGGGCCATTGTTATTGACACAGCCAGGCAATTGCTTCGACTTTCTCTGCTCGGCAATATTAGCTCAGTGCCTCTTCATAGGAACGGTTGGGCCAGGGATAGGGATCTCTAGCTTGTTGTCGAAGCTGTAATGACAAGGTCTAGACTGGGTGTTGTTTTTCCTCTTGTCTACTGTACCAATTTTTTCCTCCCTGCCTTTTTCTTCATCTCACTGTTCAAAAAGGTACCCGCGCATTTAGACGGTGTGGTTAGTGGTTGCTGGCTGAATCGTAGCATCAGAGCCCTGGTTCGTTCTCTGGCCCTGAAGCCACACCCGACAAGACCCTGTGCACGGTAGCGAGTCACTACCCACAATTAACCTCTACCCAGACTAGGGAGAACACCAGTGCCACGTGTAGAAGGGATTGATCGAACGGTCAAGAGATCGAATTTAAGTCCAGTATGGGCTGTTTTCAGTTCAAGCATGCAAACGGACAGACTAGCAACCGCTTTCTCATACCAGGTGATATAATGGCCGGTCAAGACTATCCAGCTCTGAAAGAAAGAGGGTCATGATGCAATGTGCGCTGATCATAGCATTGAGTGCCAATCAAGGGTTCACGCCCGCGTTTCCGAATTCGGCCAGATAGACTTTTCGGTGCCAGGCACTGCGCCTATCTTTTGGAACTAATCGGCTAGGTACGGTTCTGGCGGTTCCACCTTGAACCAATCCCTTGTTGCTGAAAGCCTGAACCTGCTCCTACAGTACATGCAGACTACATACGGAGTAGACTACTCTGTACATATGCTGCTGCTTGCTGCTTCTTGCTGCTGCTGCTACTGCTGCTGCCGCTGAGTGGAAGCCTTCTTGCCCCCTTCCCCCATCCAAACCACTGGTCGTTAGCCAGGTTAGGGTGTGATTTTCCCAATTTACCCTTGTCCAGTGTTCCAGATGGAAGTCGTCCGAGTTCGGGCGATTGTTGCCCGAAGAGGATGATGGACGGATCTCTCGTCCCTAGCGGTTCCATATAACTGGGCTGTTCGACAAGAGGTGAAGTCTACTGTGTGGGAGTCTGGGAGAAGATAAAATCTTTATCCGTTGTAAAGTCAAATCGCTAGCAATCGAGAGTGCCTGTCAGTTGATTTGCAAAGGCGCCTCTGACGACACTGCAGTGGGGATGTTTCACGTCGGTCGACTCAATTTTCTACTCAGTACCTGCCCTCATGTCAACTTGTTGAGGCCTTCGAGAATCCATGATGTGTCGGTCATCGATGCTGAACGATTCGGTCGAACCTTGGCTAATTCCGAGCATCAATCGCCCTAGGGCCCTTTTTTTCCCGGTCGTTACCAGTGTGAGACTACAAGTGGTCTTTTGAGATGTGGTGTTTTGTACCTTACTTGAAGTGTCCACTTATTCTGGATACTGAGCAGCTACCGGGCAGTTAGCCTGTTACAGGCAAAAGCAGTGTACGAATACTGTTGTACCGAGTAGTTATGAGTACTTCACTTATCTACTCCGTACTCCGTAGTAACCTATGCTTTACATGCGGTGGCGAGGCGCAGCAGCCCTGAGTAAACAGGAGACATCCGAAATTCATAATAATAGAACCACCACCCGGATGAGAATAGCAATCGTCGTAATCAGGCGTATGTGTATTAATTGTTCTGTAAATAGTTCTCCGTGCTCTGTACTCCGTTCTTCATACAGTATTTCATCCTAGATGAAGTATTTTGTGTCGACCTCGCGAAGAAGTAAAATTTCCAACTTTTGCAGCCAGGACTAACCTAACACCGACCGGAGATCGACTTGGGACCAACTGACTTGAACTCGACTGGGTCTCCAAGACCCCACTTTTTTTGCCCTTTCTTTCGTTCGTTCCCAGTCATTGAGTAGTGACTTTTCAATTTCGCCCGGGAAAAGCTCGCGCTAGTCCTGGTCGGGAACGGTCCTTTTCTTGAGTCCTCAGGCAGCCCGAACGCCCTCTTCTACTGAGTACTCAGTAAGTTACTAGTAGTCTCACCCCATCCTCGCCCGCTCCCCGGGCCTCCTCCCTCCCTCTTCCTCCTCCTCAAACGGCTAGTAGTGATTCCCTCCCTCTCATTCATTCAACCTCCACTCTCACCACCGACACCACCACCACCACCACCATCACCACCACCACCACCCTCCCTTTACTCTCGCAACCTAACCACCATTACCCACTACCTTCTACCATCTCCATCTCGGTTCCTTTTTTTTTATTTCGCCTTCTCGACTATCTCTCTCGCTCGTCCCCTTCGACAGTCCCTTAGGCACTTTCCCACCCTCCCATCATTCTTTCGCCGACCGTTCTCTCCTTTCTCCCTCCCCCTCGTCACTCTTTTCGGCGCCTCCCATTCCCCCCGGTTCTCAGTCAACTCAGGTGACTGACCCGGTTTCCTCTTGAGAGGTTGACCAAATCAGATAGGTAGCCCGACAGGGCTGTCCATCGCCATGTCTGGGCGTCTATCATCCGACCATTCTCGCTCTTTCTCACAATCCTCTCAACGATCCACGCCACGCTTTACTCCGGTGAACGAAGTCGAGTCAATGCATCGTCGCTCAGTTTCGGCTCGCTCCTCCAATCCTAACGTCTTTTCCGATGAATACTCACTCGAACCCCTTGACTCTGAACATACTATCTTCACTTCTCGACGTCCATCGACTTCTTCCACCGATTCCTCTAATACCCTACGCGGATCAGTGCCTCAACAGCAGCAATCGCAGCAGAAAACCTACAACACCATTCCCATCGATGCGGATCTGACGGAGGACCCTTTTGGGGATGAGGCACGAGTGTCGTTTGATGAAACTCCGCACCGCTCAAGTCTTCCTCTCAAGGGGGTGGACTTTGCGAATCGCAATTCCGTCGCGTCTACTACACCTTCCACCACAGCTCGCAGTCAAAGTATCTCGTCGCGCTTTTCGATACCTGTTCGGGCCATGAGTCCATACACTGGGGCAACCGGTCCCAGCCATCCGTATGCGATGTACCCGCAGGTCGGTGTCAGTCGCTCTCCAAGTGTAGCGACCGCATCAACTTTACGCCCCGTGGACCAACCGTTGGAAGATACCAGTGGGCCGCAACATCCGTATGCGATGTACACCCAAAATGTGGTTCCGGAGGAAGGCATGGACAGTGCCCTGGACAATTCGATGATAGAACCTCCTCTGATGGACAACTCCATGGTCCCCCTTGGCTTCCCCGGCCACAATCAAGCCTACCAACGACCGCCCGGTCGGGCCGATGATGACGTCGGGGATCTCATTGGCCCCGACGGACACACCGAACAGCTTCCACCTTACTCCCGCTATCCTGAAAATGCCGTCCCCAAGGTAGAGGGGACGTTTGCGTCCGTCAACGATGCTGGCATCACGTCGGACGAGACCCTTCACAATGAGCGTGCAGGTCCACCCATGTCGGAGGTTACATCGACTAATGTGCCTTTGGAGGAACCAAACCGGATGACTGCACGAAGTAACTCACAATCGGAAGAGCCCCCGCTGACCGGAATTATGGCATTCGAAGAGAAATTGAAGAGAAAAGGTAAAAAGAAGGCCTGCTGCGGACTACCCATTTGGACGATTGTTTTGGTGGGGGTGGTAATGCTTGTTGGAGGATGCATTGGAGGTGTCATTGGTGGTGTGCTCGGGGCGAAGAAGGCAGCGGATCAGGAACACAAGCAGCCCAATGGCCCGCATATTGTCACGTCAACTGTTACCCCCAAGATGGATGCGACTCCGGTTACTTCTACCCCGATCAACCTGTTGGCTCTGCCTACTGGCCAGTACGTTATTCCGGCATCTCCGAAGAACCAGTCCAAATTTTGCGTTGCGGAGTCGGATTACCGAGTTACATGGTCCTGCATGAATTCGGGAGATATCCCTGTCGCTGTTGGAGGCACAGACACCCAACGTTCGATCACGTTTGAAGATACTACGTACTCGTCAAGTCTTAGCTATGGAGCTCAAGCACCGGTTCTTTCCAACCCGACACAGAATCTTTCAATGGCATATGATCTCAACGATGCCAGTTTCGGACCCGCTTTGCACTTTTGGACCACCTTCGACAAGCTGGTCGTGGTGCCTCAAGACTCATTCCCAACGCACGCGTCATCGAAACGCTCATTGTCTGAGGATGAACTGTTGGCTACCATGCTTGTTCGCAAGGATGTAGCCAAAGCAGGAGATAAGCCGTGGTTCTGCTGGTGGAACAGCACCATAATCGAATTCTTTCTGTACATCAACGAGACCACCAAGGATGCTCAATACAGCGCGACCGCCACGTCATCGAGTTACGTTCAAGCTACGGGAGGGAGCTCGAGCTCGGGTTCGGGGTCCAGTTCCAGTTCAAACACAAACACGAATTCTAAGCGGGATGCAGTATCCGACTACCCCCGCCGGATTAAGATGGAGGAGAAACGAGAAAACCCCGGTGCCCCTAGTCCTTATTGTCAACAGATGCAAGTGCTTGATGACGGGTCAGTCGGTCCCATATCCCAGGAGACTGTCCAGGTCAAGGAGGTACAGCCTACTCCCACAACAACGATCCAAGTCACCGGCTCAACACAAACATATACAGCGAAGGCCGAGTACCAGAGCGTCTGCTACTGCGTGTCATTGACCGATTGATATAGCCGATCTGGCATCTCTGGGCTCCAGCCTATAACGAAGCTCTTGTTTATCTGCGGAACTGAAGGCGTTGGCGTTACTAAAACTGAGGGGGCCGCTTCCATCCAGCTCTTTACGTGCATACGAATGTTTGATTAGTCTCTCAAGGTTAACATACCTCTTTTTCACCTTGGGCATGAAGGATGTTCCGATACATTTTGGTATCTTATGGCGTGCATATTATGTATTCCAGCCGGGTCTTGTTTGTCCCGGTGGTTGTTTGTTTCACTCTAATGCGGCCGACAAATCGCCGTCCGCTTCTGCATCGCTATGGATAGTTTCGAAGGCTTTTTTTGGGCGTTAATATTGGGAGGGGGGTCAAATGGTGCAAGGAAGGACAGCGTACATTGCGGCCAGGAGACTCTTTCGTTCAATCTCTTTTTTAAAGGCCTGCGTATGTCCAGGAACCGGATATCCTCTTCATCATTTATTTTTTTATTTTGACCATTGCTTAAGGATGGGTATGTTCTCGTTGAGAATTCGGTTGGCATTTCGACATGTTCTGGTAATATGGTCTGAATCTACTATTTGCTTTAGGCGGGTGCGAAGCGGAAACAACCTCTTCGTGGACCGTGCTACAAGCCGTTATACCTCTTTCATAATTCTCTTGCGCCCTTACGTGCCCGAAGTAGCCAGGGGTGATGCAACAGTGGTTGCGCAATGGTTGGGTTGGGATTTGGAAAGATGACCGGATGCAAACGTCATCGTCTGCAAACCCCCTCCCCTTCGAAGTCGATCACCACTTGATCATCCGGGGGCGACTAAGCCATCTGCTACTAAATAAAGTGGGCAGTTCCTAAGGTGTTGAAGTTAATTAAATTTTGGATCTATATCTGAACGAACGCAATTCGACATTGTACATTACCTATTGTTCTCACCTTCTTTACCTTAGTGTCACTAGTCATCTCACCTCACACCAGCATCATGGCTTCCATACTTCGCAGCAGCAGACTATCCCTTCGTGCAAGCTACTCTCCCTTCATCCGTCCAGCATCGCGTCTTACTCCGAAGACCGTCCAGCCCTGGCGCGGCTACGCTCATAGCTCCTACGGCGGCGAGGGCGAGACCCAGGCTGAACAACCCAACACCTCCCGCAACGAGCCTACCCGAGACCTCGAACATCCGGGTGAGTTGCTTCACCTTTGAAGATTATGCAAAAAGCACTTCAATGTGGAATAGAATGGACTAATGCCTTCGTCACAATAGGACCCCCCGCCCCTGACGTAAGTGGCTCGTCAAAGAAGTCCCAGCAGTCCGGCAGCAGCAGCAGTAGTGGCAGCAAGGACACTGGTCATGGCACTGGCACTGGCGTCGAAAACAAGAGTCACAGCAAGACTACACCATCCAACAAGGCCAGACCGACCATCACGGATGGCGTGAATTCGCCCAATGCAGAGCTCGATGGAACAGTGGGAGACAATGCATCGGAGGATGTCAAGAAACACAACCAGGAGATGGACCAACGGTACGATCACGCGTATAACCAGGTGAAGAAATAAGTAAAGGTTGAGAGTTGTAGCGCATTGAGAGACAAATTGTCCATGTATTTCTATGTATCTTAACGGATTTCACGGATCAAAGTTCCTGTCTTTTTTTTTTTTTTTTTTTTTTTTTTTTGTTCTTGAGAAAGTACTGAAGAATCAACTGCGGGCAGAAGTGAGGGTGTGCAGCTTAAGCGATGTAAAACGACGACGACCGCAGGAACGGCAAGCTAAGTTAGCAAGTTGAACCGAGGGTGAAACAACTGGACAGTCTTTAGTCTTACTCCTGGACTGGCCACGTTGAATGGATGCGAATGCGGATCTCCCGCACCAGTCAGTAGTCGTCCGTCCGTCCTCGTCGCCAAGTCCAGCCCGCGCCGCGCGCTTTCACTCTTTCACTCTTACTCCTCCTCTCCCCAGCACTTTACTGACCTTCACTCCTTTTCCCTTCCTGATCTTATCTATCTATTCTTTGTGTCTTGGAGCACGGATCCAATTTCTTGACCAATTCGCGGATCATTTACTGGCAACAGTCACAAAACAGAATCATGGGTGCCTCGACGAACAAGTACTCGGTCATCCTGCCGACCTACAATGAGCGGAAGAACCTCCCTATCATCTGTTGGTTGCTGGAGCGGATGTTTCGCGAGAAGTGCGTTTATCCCCCCCCATTCTCATCGATCATCTTCTCGCCTGGTTATCTCCAATGGAGAGGACTTTCCTCGCCTTCCTTAAACCTCCTCTTCTCTCCTACCTACCTCCCTTCCCACCCCACATCCTGTTCCCCTCCCCCCCCCAAGTCCTCAGAAACAAAACTGACCACCCGGCCCTAAAAAAAAACAGCAACCTGAACTGGGAAGTCATCATCGTGGACGACGGGTCCCCGGACGGAACCCTGGAGGTGGCCAAACAGCTGCAGCAGCACTGGGGCGCGGAGCACATCATCCTGAAGCCGCGGGCGGGCAAGCTGGGGCTGGGGACGGCGTACATCCACGGGCTGCAGTTCTGCACGGGCAACTACGTGATCATCATGGATGCGGACTTCAGCCACCACCCCAAGTTCATCCCGACGATGATCGACATCCAGCGCGAGACGGACGCGGACATCGTCACGGGCACGCGCTACGCCGCCCGCGGCGAGATCAAGGGCGGCGTCTACGGCTGGGATCTATTCCGCAAGTTCACCTCGCGCACGGCTAACCTCATCGCCGACGTCATGCTCATGCCCGGCGTCAGCGACCTGACGGGCTCCTTCCGCCTGTACAAGAAGAGCGTGCTGGAGAAGGTCATCCACAGCACCCAGTCCAAGGGGTACAGTTTCCAGATGGAGATGATGGTCCGCGCCAAGGCGATGGGTTTCAAGGTCGCCGAGTGTCCGATCACGTTCGTGGATCGGTTGTTCGGGGAGAGTAAGTTGGGCGGGCATGAGATTGTCGAGTATTTGAAGGGGGTGATGACTCTGTGGTTGAAGGTTTAAATGTATGCTTTTCGGGGGATGTCTTCTGTTTTTAGGGGGGATTGGGGCATTTGTTTCCCGACTGATCTGTTTTTTTGGGGTTGCTTCTATTGACTTTGATTTTTTTTTACCATCTATCATCTAACTATACCCTCCGTTGTCTATTCTTGTCGTGAAAATTCCCGTTGTTGCCCTCTTCTAGTATGTACAATTTTAGAATTTCTCCTCCCCCCCTTGGCTCTTGGCTCAATGAAAAGATATCGGTGCAGATAACTCTCCACAGCGTCTAGGTTTGCTTCTCAACTCTCTCCAAGAACCGACTGACCCGATGCACCAGCTCCTCCTGCCCAACGTCACTCACATTATGGCTCGCCCCCTCAATGGCTGCACTACCCTCATCATCCCAGATATCCTGCCCCCCAGCATTCACGGCCTGCCTCCACCTCCCCATCAACCCCGGGACATCCACCCAGGGGGGAAGATACTCGTCCGCCCCCGAGAACAGAACCATCAGCCTCCCCTTCAAAAGACCCCTCTCCGCCACCTTCCCGAACGTCGCCGCGAGACTCTCCTCCCCTAGATCCGAACTGAACAGATCATCCGCACTCGGCCGCTGGGGACTGTCGGGACTGGCCAAGCTCCAGAACCGCGCCGCCGTGACCGGCGTATTCTCGGGCAATCCCACGCGGGCGAGCAAGTCCATGGGCAGGAGGAAGCTGGCGGGCCCGGTGCGCGCCATCTGCACGAGTTGCTCGTAGGCGCCCCGCACTTCATTTTTCTGGAAACCGTCTGCTTCCTGGATCTTGACCAGCAGCGCCTCGCGATCCGAGACGGGCGCCTGCATGATCGCCCCATCGACCGCCGGCCGGCTTTGGGGCTGCTGCGAGTGCAGGTAGTGCAGGACGTCCTGGCTGCCCGTCGAGTGGCCCATGACGACGATCTTGCCGGCGGCCTTGTGCGGCAGGCGCGTGCGGATGAACTCGATGCACTGCGCGATCTCGGCGACGTCGGTGTCGAGGCTGCCCGTGCCGAAGCCGCTGTAGGAGCTGCTGATGAGGAGGTTGAAGGCGCTCCAGGTGCTTTCGGGTGTCAGGGTCTGCGCCAGGGTGCGGACGTAGGGGACCGTGTGCAGGCCGTCGGTAAGGCCGCCGATGAAGAGGAGGGTGTTGGGCTTGGGGTCGTTGGTGGGGGAGCTGAATTCGAAGGCGACGAGGTGGGGAGCCTTTTTGTGTAGTACAGTGTTAGGTTGGGGGGTGGGTTTGGGGGGGTTTGTGAGGTTGGGGTGGACGTACGTATTCGTGGAGAATGCCGGGGGGTGAGTGGTTCGGGGAAGACATGGTGATTGTATGTGTGTGTGAGTGTGTTGTCTGGTTGATGGCGGTGGTGTGGATGAGATTGTAGGATTGTTTGGTGGAAGCAGGTAATCTGGATCGGTTCAGTAGTTGGAGGACTTATCGTTATCGACGGAGGACGACCCGGTGGTGATGCAGTCACTGGGCCAGGGCGGGGTTCCAGCCCCGATTCGGGTGTGGAAGGTCGGAGCTGTCAGTTCGGATTGCGATCCAGTGCATTAGTGTAGAGCCAGTAAATTTTAGTTTGTACCGGGCAATAGCGGGGTACAGTACGGACATCTCTCATTACATCTTTCCTTATCATACCAGTCTTCATATTTCCAAATCATCCTACTCATACTCACACCTAGATAGATAGTATGTTGATACCCCAACCTTGAACTCATAGCTTCCTCCCCCCCCCGCCAAGACCTCTAACCCAATCAGGTAACCAGCATTACTCGCGCGGGCGCCCCCGAGCAATTCATCCGGCGCATATTTTCTCGTCCACTGCACTGCACAAACTCGCCTTCACTTGGACTCATGACCCCAAAATAATTAAACATACTCCCACAGCAATGGGGCCTCATCCGCTATAACATACTCGGCGACTATCCCAAGCATAAATCCAGTTGAGCCGTGACTTGGCCCTGAGATCCGCAATGCGACGACCCCAAAGGACTTTCGGCAGACAACTGAGCTAACCTTACAACCAAATCCCCCGCGCAGAGCCACCGTTACTACTACATACATACATACCTACCTACCTACAGCATCAAACTCGACTCGACCCCATCACACACACAATCATGACCCGTACCCGCCGATCCAATCGCACCTCCGGCGCCAGAGCGAAATATATAGAGGACCCGTTCGTGGCGGCCGGAGTTAGCGATGACGATAACGACAACGATCTGGAAGAGGACCAACAGGACGATAGTGGTGGAGGTGACGCTTCGGTAGCAGCGGCGTCGCAGAAGCAGAAGCAGACGAACAAGAACAAGAACAAGGGGAAAGGGAGGAGCACACGCGCGTTCGCGGCCGTGAACGATAAATCCTCCGATGAGGACTTTGAAATGCCAGATGCTGGGAACTTTGATGATGATGATGACGATGACGACGAGGAGTTTCGGGACGAAGAAGAGGCGGAGGAGGTCGAGGGTGATGAGGACGAGGATGGTAGTGAAGCTGGAGGCAATGTGGAGGCGAGGACTGCCACTGCTGCTGGGGGGCCTTTTCGTCGGAAGTCACGCAAGGCTGGTGGTACCTCTGCTGGTGCTGCTGCCGCCAACTCTAGAACACCTAAGCGACGGCATCCGGATGGCAGTCTGCTGCTGACCGGTGATGCGACGCATTCGCGCGGCTCGTTCAACCCCCTTGAACATGTGGGCAAGGCGGTGCATCTGCGGGTGATGTTCGGGACGGACAATAGGGATCTGTTGGCGATGATCTACGCGCGCGAGCGGTGGGGTGGCGGGGTGGATTCGACGTTTCCGACCCGCGAGGCGCTGGAGAGGGCGAGGGACGGCGCCGACTATGGCTATGGGTTGACCTTTGGGGTCGAGCCCGAACTTCTGAAGTTGGAGAGCGCCCGCGGCTGGGACTGGTACTATACCGACGCGGTCCGCGAGCGGTTCCGGCTGCGGCAGCGCGTGGCGAAGATCGGGGAGGCGGCCGCGCGCCGCAAGTACCTGGCTCGGTCGCGCGGGGATCATACCGTTCTCCTAGGGCCCGTGGATGATCAGAAGGAGTTCACGCTGGGCCAGCATCAGGTGCTCGATTTCGGCGAGGCGTGGACCAGCAAAGCCAAGGCTGGGTCGGGCTGCCATAAAGTCCGCGAGGGCTGGCTGCTGAACTTCGGGAGCAAAGTGCAATGTCTGGCCTGGGCGCCGAATCACTTGGGTCGCACGCAGTACCTGGCGGTCGTGGCCCCAATTCTACCGGACCAGAAGGCCAAGGTACCCGATCCGCTGAAGGATCAGGCCGCGCCGGCGTTCAGGCCCTCGGCGCCCTATCCCTGCGCTCTGCAGATCTGGGCGTTCCAGGCTCAAGAGTCGGAGGCTTTGGCGCGGAAGATCGATCTGGGATTTCGGCCGCATTTGCGCTTGGCGCTGTGTACGGATTGGGGCGATTTGCGCCGGTTGGCCTGGTGTCCTATGCCTCGCAATCCTCGAGACGAAGACGACGAGGACGAGCTTGAGACCCTGGGACTTCTGGCGGGCATCTGGACCGATGGTTATGTGCGAGTCATCGACGTGAAAATCGGCCGGGATACCAAGAAAGCTGAATTTTGTAGGTTCTTTGCTCCTATCCTTCTGGTGGCTGTCGGTATACTGACCCCCCTTCCTAGATCAGGTACATTCCACGATCTTCGAGGCGAAGCCGCCATCGACTGTTTGTACATGCGTGACATGGCTCTCTCCAAGCGATATCGCCGTCGGCTGTGCCAACGGGTATGTCGCAATCTGGAGCATCGCGCCGTCCTCGAACTCGTCATCGAGTCCCGCCCCTTACTTTTACCAAGCACTTCACTCCACCTGGGTTCTCAACATTTCATCCGCCTACCCTACGTATCCCCATCTGATAGCCACTACCTCCATGGACGGCGACACCAGGCTTACGTCCGTCATCGACCCGCCCAAGGACCAGGTGTATACGAATCGCATGCGGGTAGGCTCGACCCATCTCTCGTACTGTCCGCCGCTGCAATCGTTCCTCTCTAGTGACGAGAACGATTTCGCCCGTCTGCTCGCCGTCCGGCGGTTCTACACCTCGACCGCAGTCGCCCGACTGCCAAGCCCCATCTCGGCGCTGGCGCCGTGCAGCTACTGGCATCCCAGCGTCCTGTTTGGCTGCGTGGGGGGCACGGTGCAAGCCACCAACCCGCTTCGGCGGGTGCTGCACTCCAAGGAGAAGCAATGGCAACAGAACTGGTTCCAGCATGAATGGGTGCGTGGCCCGCACGACACCGGCACGGGGGTCAGTCGCTTCTACGACGGATATCGCGCCGAGAGTGTCAGCCTGCTGCGCAACCTGATCGGGGACCGCAAGCTGGTCAACGGCATGGCGATGATCACGATCTACGAGGAGGAAACGCACGTTACTGCGCTATCGTGGAACCCCAATCAAGCATGTGCCGGATGGGCCGCCGCGGGCTTGGGATGTGGCTTGGTCCGAGTTGAGGACCTGATTCTGTCTTGAGGGTGGTTTTTAACTTCTCACTACGAGAGTCAAGTTCATCACCTTTTGCGCAAACGGGCTCGTCTTTGATCGACGAGGAGCCGAAAATCGGATCCGAGTAGGACACGACACCGCCTCGTGTGGACAGTTCATCCCGATGGACGCATTACGTAGACCCTGCCGAGTCGAGCTCTGCACATGTCGGGCGTGCATGCAAACGACACGGAATCTTGCATGGGGGTTAACTCTACACCTACCGCTGACTGCAGGCGGATCTTGGACTTCTCAGACTAGTGTCTCTGAGCGACGAGTCGCGCATTAATTACAGTCACGGCTTGAGCCACCATAGCCACGAAGGTTCATCCATGCCCGCAGAGCTGGACTGCATATTACGCAAGATAGGCACAGGCTATAAATGGAACAACAGAACACAACTATACATCAAGACCCTGCCTCCACAGTACAGCTGTACTTCCACCAGACCCACTCAATCAAGCTAATTCGCTCATCTAGTTGTGCGGGTATGTGCCCTTTGACCAGGGTGACATAGTAGCCGATGTACTATGTACGGTAGACAACCTATCTGTGTACTGTGCATGGTGTGCCTGGTCATGTGTGGGTCACGGCAAGTGTTTTCCTTGGAACATTCCGATGGATGGGATGTTGATCAAGACACCGCCTCTATCAAGAATAGAATATCAGTACACACTCGCATCACCCGGTTGATCAGCACCCCGAGAAGCGAAGTATATCCCTCAGTATGGCGGTTTTCTCATGACGTAGGAGATGAGGATCTACACTGAGAAGACGATGCTGGAGAGACGGCATAGTAGAGGAGACTGTCAGTTGAGAGAGGCGGTGATAGTCGTAGGGGGAACTCTGGACTTGTGATCAACATTGTGTAACTGTGAGTTGTTGCTTGTAGTGCAGTGTAGTTAAGGAAAAGGTGATCAACCTTCAATGCAGCCGTTCTGGAGCGGCAGATCCTCGGCCCACCGTCCGTCAACTGTCGAATAACAACGTCATCTGCCACAGCCGCCCGTGCCCGCTGCCCGCTGCCCGCTGCCCAGCCACATCAAAAAACACTCTTCACCTTCTAGGTCTATACAGCATCCAGCATCCAGCATATCGCAAGTCGAATTGTTCAGTTCGTGCTGTGGTGTAGCCAAAACTGCTCCGAGCGACCTCTGGACTTACATGTGCCTTGCCAAGAATTTCCTGACTCGTACTAAAATCAAGCGTGGTGCAGGGTCAATTGCCAATTGCCCAAAACCAACGGGGCTGGCAATGAGGGCTCCATTCCCACTTTCCCAGCCTCCTTTGACAGCAACGAGGATGCGCCAGCCTGCACTTTAATCTCCCGCCCACTGGGCCCCGCGTGCCGTCTATGATGGAATAAAGATCTAATTCTCTGGGTCCAGGTGGATCTTTTTTTGTTTTCTGTTCCTTTTTTTGTTTTCTCTTCTTCGATTTTCTATGTGGTTTAGGCTACCAACTTCAGTTCCAGGGCCCTGGTGGATCGGTGTGTGTTTCTACGGTTTCCATCCAAGTGATAAATGAATCGGTTTCCTCGAGCTTTGGCTTCTAGCTCTCTTCTAGTTCAATTCTCTGAGATACCAGTATAAGACATTTCAGTGTCTTCGATATTCAAAGCAGAAACGTCTCCGTGCCTCTTCCTCCCTCTATTCAACCTCTTCAATCATACCCAACATCAACCCTACACATCACACACCAGCATGTATACCGCCGCTTTGCTTCTCGCTCTCTCCCTGACTGCCCAGTCAGTCCCGGTCTTCCATTCCCAAGCAAACGACACCATTGCTCGCAGAAATGAACTGCCATACAAGGTCGTCGACGTCGCCGGCACTGCGGCTCCCCCGGTCGAGACAGTCACCGCCACGCCCTCGCCTCCCGTGACGGTGACCGTCACTGAATATCCTTCCTCCACCCCAGCTCTGGAGCCTTTCTCTCTTTCCTCTTGGAGTGTCGGTCCTCGGGTGACAGGCATCCCCCACCCCGGGCCCCAGTTTGCCGCGCGGGGACTCAACAGCACAGAGCACAACCACCGTCGCCATGCGCAGGCCAACACCACCGTCACCGAAACCCCCGCCAGCGAGGATTCCATCACAGTGGCCAAGCGCAGCAACGACACTCTGCCCCGTTCCTTGGGTAACCACAACGGAACCGAGCATGAGCATCACGCCGAGCACAAGGACGACGACATCTCCGCCAAGGCTCTGACCCAACGCGCACTCACCAGCACCGAAGCAGCCAGCAAGCACACCGGCAGCAACGCCAATGAGACCCAGTCGGCCCGCGCTGATCTTGCCCCTGGGCATGCCGCCGCCTTCGCGAGACGTGCACTCACCACCGGTGACGCGAAGCCCACCCCTCAGAACTCCAACAACACCGCGGAGCAGTCCGACGCTACGAAGCGCGCAATCAACACCACCGAGGCTGCTACCAAGCACTTCGCCCGAAGCTTGAACGGCACCTCTCTGCACGCTCGGAACGTCACTGCGGGTGACTACTGAGTTACCTCTGAAGGATCTCTCCTTCTTGGCTTCTTCTCTCACTAAGTATATGGTGTTTTATGACTGGTGCGATCCAATGCGATCACTACGATACACGGTACATGGCAAGCAAGCGTTGTCTTCTTTTCTTTTAGATCTATGGTATATGGTTCCGGCTTTTATGTGTCATGACTGGCATGACGATCGTTATCCATGAGGATTGGCATATCTGGGGCGTTGCGGCTCTATGGTTTTATGGTTTTATGGGTATGTGTTTTTTTGGCGGTGACCTGATAATTACTACTGTACCGTACTTAGCTCTTTCTGCCACATGCTTTTTATTAGATGTGGGTGGCGCAGTACATTCATGCGCTGGTAGATAGATTGGTTGAGTTCTGTTGGGTCCAATAGGCTGGAATCGAGGAATTGAGTGTATAGAATGATTGATCCGAATCATGATAAGAAACCTAGAGCGGTTAGCCTGCCTCGTGCCCCGTGACGTACGATCCCGCCGGGTGGTTCGTTTACATAACCCGAGCCCAGCCCATTCATTTACTTACTGTCCCGGACAGTCAGTCTCCCAGTCCTGATCGCATGTCCGCATTCACCTTCCCCGGCTTCTCGCTCATTTCCACCCTCGATTCTCCTGTCTATCAACCGACAGCCGTCTAATCTCGTGTATTCACCTTCGCGCATTTAACGAACCCACTATCTCCGTCATTGAAACCCTTGCTCCGGCCTCCCCTCCCCCTTTCCGGCCAGGTGTTTACCGCTCCGACTTTCTTAACACCAAATCGAATCGCCCCCCTCCCTTCCCTCACGCCTCCCCATCCACACAGAACAACCAACATGGCTACCCCGGTAGCACCCCCCGAAGACCAGACTCGTCTCCTCGAGGAGGCATTGGGCGTGGTGCGTCAACAGTCGCAGATGATGCGGAAATGTCTAGAGACCCCCGGCAAATTAATGGATGCGCTGAAATGCGGGTGAGCTCCCCTCCCTCCCCAGGCAGCAATGGGAGGACCAATTGAACATGCGAACACCCAAGCATCGCGCAACACGCACAAGCAACCAACAAGCTAACCCAGTTTTACACCTCCCTTGTTATCGACAGGTCTACATTAGTTTCCGAGCTCCGCACCCCTAGTCTAGGCCCCAAGCAATACTACGAGTTATATATGGCGGTCTTCGACGCCTTGCGACACCTCTCCGTATACTTGAAAGAAAACCACCCGGTCAACCACCTGGCCGACCTGTACGAGCTCGTCCAATATGCCGGCAACATCATCCCGCGACTCTACCTCATGATCACCGTCGGGACGGTGTACATGTCCGTGGAGGACGCCCCCGTCAAGGAGATCATGAAGGACATGATGGAGATGAGCCGCGGCGTGCAGCACCCCATCCGCGGCCTGTTCCTGCGGTACTACCTCTCCGGCCAGGCGCGGGACCACCTGCCGACGAGCGCCGGGGACGGGCCCGAGGGCAACCTGCAGGACTCGATCAATTTCGTCCTGACCAACTTCGTGGAGATGAACAAGCTGTGGGTGCGCCTGCAGCACCAGGGCCCGTCCCGCGAGCGCGAGAAGCGCATGCAGGAGCGCCGCGAGCTGGAGTTGCTGGTCGGCAGCAACGTTGTGCGCCTCAGTCAGCTGGTCGATCTCGAGGGCTACAAGTCCGGCATCCTGCAGGCGCTGCTGGAACAGGTCGTGCAGTGTCGGGATGTGTTGGCGCAGGAGTATCTGCTGGAAGTGATCACAAAGGTCTTCCCGGACGAGTTCCATCTGCACACCTTGGACCTCTTGCTGTCGGCGATCTCTCGGCTCAACCCGCACGTGGACTTGAAGAAGATCGTGATCGGTTTGATGGACCGCCTGTCGAGTTATGCTGCCCGCGAGAGAGAGGCTTCCGCGGACCCGGAGGCACGGAAGCTGAAGGAGGAAGAGGCGGTTACCAAGTTGCTCGAGAATCTCAAGGTGTCCGAAGAGAAAGAGACGAAGGCGGAGGAGCCGGCGACCGACGCAGAGGCAGCCCAGGAGAATGGTGTCGAGCAGACCAAGAAGGACAGCGAAACGGCGGAGGAAGGCGAGCAGAAACCAGCGAATGGCGATGCAAAGGCACCCGAGGCCATCCCTGCCGATATCAAGCTGTATGCCATTTTCTATGATCAAGTGGTCAATCTGATCAAGAGCCGCGGCCTCCCGATTCAAGACACCATGGCGCTTCTTCTGTCGCTGGCCAACCTAGCGCTCAACACCTACCCCGACCATCTGGAATACGTCGACCAGGTCCTTGACTTCGCGGCGAAAGAAACAGCCGCCTACACCGATCACGCCGACCTGCACTCCGCTCCTACGCAACAAAATCTCCTGCAACTTCTCACCGCTCCTCTCCGCTCTTACGTTTCGATCTTCACGGCCTTGGCCTTGCCTCATTACATCCCACTTCTGACCACCCAGTCTTACCCCACGCGGCGATCTGTCGCGGGCGAGATCGCTCGCAGCCTCCTCAAGAACGGAACCCCGATCACCACCACAGAGAACCTCGACCGTGTTCTGCAGGCTTTAAGAGTCTTGATCAAGGAAGGGACCCAGCAGTCCATGGGCTATCCTGGGTCTCAGCGACGAGGGGAGACGGAGGAGACCATTGAGGAGCAAGGGTGGCTTGCGAGATTGGTACATTTGATCAAGGCAGACGACAACGATACGCAGTTGAAGGTTTGTTCCTCGTTTCTTCTCTTCCCACAACAGTGCCCTAATGCATCTTGCAGCTTCTTCAAGCGACTCGAAAAGCTTACCTGGACGGCAACGAGCGCATCCGCTACACCACACCAGCTCTGATCACCTCGTCGATACGCCTGGCGCGCAAACTCAAGGCTCGCGAGCACTACGATGACAACTGGCAGTCGCAGTCTTCGGCGCTGTACCGCTTTATGCATCAATGCGTCAACAACCTCTACCAACGCGTGAACCCCGGGTGCGCCGACCTAGCGCTGCGGCTGTTTGTGATGTGCGGTGAGGTGGCCGATCAGACGGGCTTCGAAGAGTTCAGCTACGAGTTCTTCGCCCAGGCGTTTACGATCTACGAGGACTCCATCAGCGACTCCCGCGCGCAGTTCCAGGCCGTATGCATCATTGCCGGGGCGCTTCACGGCACGCGGGGATTCTCGAAGGAGAACTACGACACGCTCATCACCAAGGCGGCGCTCCATGGCAGCAAGCTGCTCAAGAAGCCCGATCAATGTCGCGCCGTCTATCTGGCCAGCCATCTCTGGTGGGTGGTGGAGAACCCGCAACGGGGCGAGGAAGACGCGAAGAACGTACGTTGCCTGCCTGTTTTCATCCCCACCTCGAACCAACTAATTGAGAATATTACAGCTCTACCGTGACGGCAAGCGCGTCCTCGAATGCCTGCAACGGGCCCTCCGCGTCGCCGACGCCTGCATGGACACGGCCGTGTCCGTGGAACTCTTCGTCGAGATCCTGAACCGTTACGTGTACTATTTCGACCAGCAGAACGAAACCGTGACCACCAAATATCTGAACGGGCTGATCGAGCTCATCCACTCCAACCTCCAGACCGACAAGGACGAGCCCAACCCCAGCCTCGAGGGCCCCAAGCGCCACTTCCAACGCACGTTGGAATACATCCGATCCCGGGATTACGAAGGCGTAGTCACGGAACCAAGGCAGTAAGGGGGGACTGAACGACCTGTATGAATGAGAGACGCGTCTACATTACTATTATTCTGATTTAAAGCCTCGATTCAACTTTAAACCACCCACTTCTTCTGATACAATCCTCTCTTTCTTTTTGTTCGTGTCGTCTTAGCAACCTGTGTCTATCTTCTTCCTCTACAAGACTATTTATGGCCTGTAAGATTCCCGTTTTCGTACTTTGAGTTGGTTTCGATGGTTGAGAGTACGGGGGGATTAGGGGGGTTTAGGGGGGGCAGGGCGGAGGTCTTTGTTCTTCGATCTGCGTGTATCATCATCAGAACCGTCAACATCAACATCATCAACAACAACAACAACCAAGAAGTATCCACCTTACCTATTATAAATCCCTGTGTGATTGGATAGATTGCAAGTCCCCTGGCGACAGGGATGTACAGTACTCTATCAACCCATCCATCATTTTTGTACAGTACAGTAAGTAAAGTAAGTACAGTACATATCTTCTCTCAATCGTAAACCTCAGATCCGAGAAATACCTCATCAAGGGACATACCACCTCCCACCTTCCTTGACAGGTGGGTACGGGGAGGGCAGAGCATGGCAAGCGCAGCGCAGGAGAGCAGGGAAGCAACAGCCTCGTTTGTGGAAAACGAGAGGGAGAGGATCCCTCCGCCAGCAGCGCAAGGGTAAGCGTTGCTGTAACTGTACCCCATCGTTATCTTCCCACCTACCCCCAATACTACACTGATAAGTGGAATCCAAGGCAAGGCCTGGAAAGTAGGCTAGACTGTATTCCCAGATCCATGGCACATAGTCAAGCACCGCTTCGCAAGCACCGCACCACACCGCAAGCACTACAGTGTACACAGCAAAGCACAGCAAAGCACAGCAAAGCACAGCAAAGCACAGCAAAGCACAGCAAAGCACAGCACAGCAGCATCGACCCCACGCAAACTGAACATACAACCGCAACCACAACCGCACACAAACGAAACGCCTAACCCCATCCCATACATCCCATCCTACATACAACACATATTTACAGGAGCCAAATCTCGAGATCGGAGATGAATTTTTAATCGACTCGAAACAAGAAGTTTATGGATCATAGCATTAATGTTTTGGTTTGGGTTAGGGTTATCACTTCCTATTTTACGGGAACGGGAACGGGAACAGAAGGCTGATAGAGGATGTGGTATGATCTCATCTGATAAGACAGAGTGGCATGTCACCCGAGGGGGTTTGTGGGGGTAGGGATTCAGGTTCGGGATAGGGGAGGATATTTATATCCATCGTAACAAAGGTAGGTGAAGTTGGTCTCGAAGAGTCAGACAGGAAGAAGGG